GAGTATAATATGCTCATTTTTACGCATGTGAACCGTACATACATTTTACTAGTGAATTTTTTACACCTACAATGTAAAAGAACACGAACACAAGATACATCGAGTCTTCCCTCTCTCTTTGTCTCACTCAAGACACAAGTGGGAGGAATCGACGCCGCGCTGTCTGCACTGCACTGACGAGTATTGTTATTAACTGCAGTGGGAATACAGGCAGCAGTACGTCCCCTGCACTCCGGCTGCAGGGCTCACCTTTGTTCTGCGCTCCGTGATGGCACGGTATAATTACAGCCGGGAAGGCACACACGGCAACGTCTACCTGAGCCTCACTTGACCTCGCAGGCTAAGGGATCACAAGGACACACACTTTGCTTATGTGCGCGATGTCTGCTTGTTGTTCACCGTCACTGGCACTCACTGTTTGGAGAGTTTTTTATAAGTTGCCAGCTAGCCTCCTTGAATCTGCAGCTCCAACGTCATACACAAAGCGCATGGACTATCTTAAGAGCTTTGCCTCATGCTCTACGAAGCCTTCGCTTGACGCCCCTGAAAAGTTTGTTGTCATCGTTGTCTCCATCGGCAGCGCTGTCAGCACCTTTAGCTGCAAGCCGCTATGTCAGCTGTTGCTAAGTTGAGAGCCTTTGAAAGGCTCAAAATGTTCCCAATCTCGCATTTTGAACCTTTATGGTCTTCGCCAATTTTGATTAGTTGCCAAGTATGAGTTGGAAAAATGGAACTCGAACAATAACTACTTATTTTTTGCAAGTCAAAACAGGGCACCGACATGATATTGGTTAGAAAACTATTATACCTTCTTTTTAGAAAATGAGTAGGTCTGTCTTTGGCTCACCTGTCTCTTTAGTCATCAGACCAGGGAATAAAAAGTCCACATCAATCTTTATCTGACTTAAAATGTATATATTTGTATTTACAGACTAGATCTTATCATCATATATTCATTAAAAGTGACTTTATTTGCTCGGATCTGGGAGAATATTGCTGCTATCCATTTTTTTAATCTGTCCATCCAAACATCCACGACATTTGTGCCTCTACTGATCTACGATTTTAGCTCGAATGAAATGTGCACACATTTCTTTCACTCCAGCAAGTGATCACATTTAGGTGCGGCCACTTGAGGTTGGGTTAAAGAATCTGCCTCAACTTGAGGCCTCAGCATCTCCAAATATCTGATCGCTCCTGTTCTGTTCAACAAATGGGTACACTTCTCATGTCAATTCATTTTTAGTATCAACTCCAAGGCAATCTCTACCTTATAAAATTCCTCGCCCTTCCTCATCTCTCCTCGTCATCATCCAGTTCCAACCTCTCTTTAATAATGATATTCTGAATGTGCAGTACTACTACTATTTCCTCTATAAGTAGAATTTTATTCATGACGAATGAAATTGAGCGATTGTTGCATCTGCAATTTATTTCTAAGTGTAGTGTATGTTCATCACAAATTAAGTCAAGATGTCAAGACCTTATCTTCCAACTTCCAACTTCCCAAAGAAACATTTAAGCATCTTTCAGCTCATTGTTTTGGTTTTACGGGCCTCAACTTAACTATTGTGGTTTCATCTCACAGATCTTAAAAACCTGTTTAAAGTAGCAGCTTTAGAAAACAGAAAAACAAAAAAACACTGCTGAGCCAAATAGCAAAAAGGTTAGCCACTAGCTGGTGAACCCAGTGGAGCATTTGGCAGATAAAGAGGCATATGTTTCCAAGGGGAGTTGGTGGAGATCAGAACAGAACTAAAGAAGAGAGGGAATATTGGACTTGATGAACAACTCCAAATGAATGCTCGTGTTGCTCCAGGTTCTCCAGATTCTTGGTAAACCCAATAATCATACATTATATTAGGTTCTTCATTCAAATCAGGTATGTTTTGTATACAGTGGGGAGAACAAGTATTTGATACACGGATGATTTTGCAGGTTTTCCACTTTCCACTTTTTCACACAAAGCATGTAGGAGTCATTTTTTATCATAGGTAGTCTTGTGTGACTGTGACTGTGAGTGCCGGAATCTAAAACAAAAATCTCCCTCGGTCTGGGGCTCCATGCAAGATCTTACCTCGTCATCAATTATCATGAGGAAGGTGAGGGATCAGCCCAGAACTGCACGGCAGGACAGCATATAGTAAAATGTAGAAACTCTCTATGTGTTTGGTTTTTCCGGTCTGGACTGTAGCAGCCTGGCGACTGTACATGGAGGGTTTAAGAGAAGGGGAAATTCCAAATAAAGCAGGTGGGCACTGGGCACGCAGGTGTTTCAATGAGCTTTCCGGCTCCATGGCACAGAGTGACACAATTTATCAGGCTTAATGAAGAAGAAAAAAAGTTTTTCTATCACAAACCCGAAAATCACTTCTGCATAATGAATATGAATACATTTTGAAAACCATAACATTAAACTCCTTGAAATTGTCCATCATCTCATCCTCCCCCTCTGTGCCATCTTGTTTTCCTTTTCTCCCTCAAGGTGTAAATGGACCTCCATGTGTTCCCACCGGCTCCTGCTCTGGCTGTTGGACAGTAACTCGTCTCCTCTTGACGCGTGATGACAAATTGTCTCACCGCAGGTCAAAGAAAAAAGAAATCAGAGAACTTGTTTGAAGAGTTATTAGCCTCTATTACTTGCTGAGTCAGAGGTGTTAGCACTGTATATTTCATGTTAAATGAGAATAACACATGATGCAATTGCTTTCATGGAAAAAAAAGGATTTGAGGAAAAGAATTCTTCATGTTTTGCACCTCATATTCCAGTTCAAGTATTTTTTCCGAGACTAAGATTGAGGTCTATTTGGTAACCGTTGGATACCCATGGGTCCATATGCAATGGTTTTGAGATCCTGATAGTCTCCTCCCTCTGTACACTTCTCTCCATCACAAACTCTTCGCTTTGCCTCTCATATGAGCGAAAAATAAATTAAGAAAAATGAAGAAAGAAAATGTTTATAACGTAGCAAGGCCGTGCCAACAACAGCATTGGCACAGAGAGAAGGGTGCGCCCTGCGCTCGCAGAGGTGAAATCAGGGCAGGGAGGAATGTTGGCGGCGGATGAAAGCAGGAGCGCAGCCTGTGACGTGTATTACCTCCGCACGTCAGCTCGTTGGTTTAATAAGACAAGAAACCAGGAGGAAACATGTCAAAACACCTCTGTCTTTCTCCGTCTCGCTCTGTCAACGGCGTTGTTCTAATGATTATCTTTTCCAGTTGTCACAGCAAAACGGACGCCATCGAAGATGCACAAACTACTGCTGGTGGGACAACGTGGGTCATCCTTCACATTACGTTTGGTCACCTGTTTGTTACTGTGTTAAAGAATGTGCCTTTTAGAGAATAGGATACCTAATGTTATTTCTGTGTGTGTTGTCTGTCATAGTGGCAACAGAGCCTTTAAAGAGTGCTGTCAAGCCCCAGATTATTGGGGGGGGGTTATAATGGTCATCAAGCCTTCCTTTCCCTCCAGCTTGTAGGATGAAATCCTCCTTTAGAGAAGTATTCAGAGCTTTGAATACTTTTGCTTTGAATGAGACGTTCAAAAAACGTCCTGCAAGCGCAACTGTCTTTTTTTAAAGTTTTAAATTAGCATATAGAAACAATCCGTTGGGCCACCTCTGAAGGTCAGGAGATACATCTAAGAAGAAGACACTCGCTACATACATTTGTGTGCGTTTACTCGCTATATGCTGATTATGGTTTTGTGGGACTGGAATATTGCTTCTGAAATGTTGTGAAAAAATTAAATAGAAATTCACAAGGACTATGGGCTTTTTCCCTCACCCGACTTGTGATCGGTAGGGATTTTTTATTTTACAGGTAGACGACGCTCGCCTCTGTTGTAACGGTGTTGAACTCGCGTCACGTGGCCCCGTAACAAATACCATTAATAGCCTACATAAAATAGCACACTGTTGGGAACAATTGGGAGAGGGGGGGGTGATAGATAGAAGCGGATCGGTTCTTCGGAGATGATTTCATACTAGATCGTGGTGAGGTTCGGGGCCCACAGTGCGGGATTTCCACCGCACGTGATGCGCGCGTAGAGGCCCGAGTGTAGCTCTGCCTCGCGTGGGACCACAGTCGTGTGTGCGTGTGTGTTTACGTGTTGTAGGCTACTCTACGGCTGCGCACGATACGTTGATTTTTTGGTCTTCACACACATTTTTTCGTCGCTTCGGGTTAATTATGAGCCATACACGACCCAGAAAATATTATACAAATAAAACTAAGATAAATACAACAATTAGACTATCTTTTATTTCGAGTGTTGTGGAAGGGTACAGGTGTGCGTTTCATAAAATGAGTCATGAAGATCCTCAGGTCTGATTAATCCGGTTTATCAGGCTTTATTTTTCCTTTGGCAAACAGCAGGGATTTTTTGAAAAGCGCTGCAGGAGCTATCTTCCTAATGTTGCTTTTTTAATTAAATCATGACCCATGGAATTTCTGAATTGTTATGTTGTAATAGACCGTGAAAGAAAAAAGTATAATTTCGCTTCTTTAGCCTCATCTTTGTCTTCCGTAAAGCTGCAACGGCCGAATAAATTGAACCACATTTATTTCCATAGTTAACAATGACAGTGACTGGCATGTAAACGCAAATGGCAACGAGGGGGGTAATTTAAGCAGTCGTCTGCATTTATTTGAATGTCCTGAGTTGTGTTTTTTAGTTATTTAATTGGAAGCAAAAAAAGGCGACGGCCTCGAAGGCCGCTGAACAACACGTGACAGCAAATCGGTTCCGTCCGGATTTTCACGCTTGCTAAATTATATTCTAACGGTTAACCCGTTTCCGCGGGCTTTAGGGTCCGGCTCTCCGCCAAAAGAAACCCCCAAAAAGGAACCGGGTCCGCCGCTCGCGCATTCCCCCATTAGTTCGACTCGCGTGACACGGGCGACGCGCTGCAGCCAATGGGCGCGCGCTGCGGCCGCCAGGTGGGAGGCAGCGCGCGCTCCGAGGAGGAGGAACTCAGTACGCCGCCCCGCGCTGCCGCGCGCCTCTCCACAGCACCGCAGGCAGGGAAGAAGAAGGATGAGCCGACTGCACGGACATTAAATCACTTGAAGGCCCTTCGTTTGATCGGAACTTTCTTCGTGTTTGCTTTGTTCCCCTTTCATCGAGTCCGGCTCGAGCCGCACGCCTTCCCGCCCCGCGTCTCGTAGTATCGGACACGGAGCGTCGCGTTTGAGGACCGTTCGGTGGGGATGTAGCGGGGGGGGGAGCCCACCTAACGCCGCTTTCATTCGCTCAGCGGGAGCGCGCTGACTTTAGTTGAGGACGTTTTCTTTAAAGCTGCTGTTTTTATTGGAGCATAGAAACATTTCACTTTCGTATCGAAGGTGTGCTGCTGCACGATGACCCCCGCCGGGAGCTGGTAGCTGAACCCTTTCTCACTTCCCACCACGCACCCCTTTGCACATCTCCCCAATGATGACTATGAGCTCTATATCGGACACTTTGGTCCCGCACGATCCCTCCAAGTCGGCGTTTTTAGAGTTCGGCGGCCACGGGTACCCCGGACACCAGCAGCCGTCCCCCGGCCTGTCGCACAACCATTACCCGGTCCACGGCCTGCACGCGGTCGGCCCCTCGCAGCACGAAGGACACTTCTCCCCCGGCGCATCCTCCTACGGTCGCCCGCTGGGATACCCGTCCTATCACGGCCCCGTGAGCGCGCACCACCCAGGTGCCTATCTGCCCTACCAGCACGGGAGTCACGGCGGCGCGCTGGGACACAGCAGACTGGACGATTCTGGTAGGTTTGCCGGACATTTTAATCGAAAACATTCGTGTTTGCACTTTTTATTGACATCTACACACAATCTACACAATTTACTCATTGGCTCATTCATTTAATGGTTTCCCGAGGAGCTGACACATCTCCAAGAGAATAAAGCAAGAACCGTTTGTTTCGATAATAAGACATTTCAAATTGTATCAGTCGCGCTAAACGTATAAAGTAGTAGTCGAAGGTTTGGACACATTTTATCATTAGATTCAATAAGAAAGTGTCCCCAAATATTTGACTGTTACTATGTGTTCTGTGTGTGTGTGTGTGTGTGTGTGTGTGTGTGTGTGTGTGTGTGTGTGTGTGTGTGTGTGCGTGTGCGTGTGTGTGTGTGTGTGTGTACAGATGTTAACGCCACAATACGCACCAATTTAATTGAAGAGAAATCCCATGAGAATGGTGAGGAAGATTATTATTCACAGATGTTTAATATATTATGGTGGCAATTGTTTTATTGTGTGAAGAGGGAAGAAGAACCACAATAAAGCACAATCATTGGATCCACGCGCAGCGCAGCGCCTCGCGTACTGTGGGGTTGGAAGGTTGGAAGGTTGGAAGGGACATGAGATCGAGGCCCGCGGAGGCTGCGCGCCTCTCCACCGGCAGCAGCCGACCCCCGCGCTGTGGTGTCCCGCAACGGCCCGAATAACAGCCGCCCCACTGCGGCCTGCGTGCGCTCCTTCCACACACACACACACACACACACACACACAAAAAAGGCCGTTAGTTTTAATCGAACCAGAAATGATTTATATTCATTTCAAAATAAAATACACCACTTACTTAAATAGACACAAAATATTTATATATATAATATTTATATATGTATATTTTTTCAACCCTTTTCTGATTTTGATTATAGACTGTGGAATGGACCTTTTATATCTGATAGGTATCTCTTTAAGAAATGATATAATCAAGTAAATATGTTCCTTAATTGCTTTCATCGAGTCTTTGATGAAGTTGCTGCTTGTCAATTGTCGCATATATTTTACTTTGTTGTTAACATCCTCAGAGTCTGCTAATTCTGTTTATAGTGCTAATATTAACAAATTATTGTTACTACACGGGTCCTTGTTAAAAGTTCAAATTCACAGTTCAAATATTTTACTGTTGGATATATTTTTTCTTTAAAAGTGGAATACTTTTCTTTCCTCTTCTTCTATTTCGCGTATACATCCTCCATTATTCAGCACACACTCATGGTTCAGACTTCTTGTTTTGTCGATTTAAAATTGTTTAAAGTTTTCTCGCAACCAAAATACAAGGAAAAATGCCACCAATAAAAAAAAGAACAAATCTCAAGGATAGAAACATTAAAGTAAAGCATTTCTACATTTGAACACAGCCGAAACAGAAAAAATCACCTAAACTAAAATCGTCAATTTGTGTCATTTCCATCGTGTGTATTGGACTTTTTAACATTATTTTTAAAGCATCTTTTATGATCAATAGTAAGCAAGCCCCACCTCAGCACGCCTTGTGCCCTCTACAAATAAAGTCTTGTTCCTAGAAATAGCAAAAAAAAGGGACATATTGCTTGAATCCAAGATTCACGTCATCTCATTTATCCTTTTCTAAAAAGAGGCATATCGCGTATATTGTCCTTTGTGTCCCCCCCCCCCCCCACCTTCTTGGAATCGCAGCGCGGCCTCGCTGCAGAGCCTGAGCGTCTTGTGCGGCCTCGACTCGTCCACAGCTGTTCTCTCCTGCCACTTCAGCCGATGAGCTCATGTCATAACAGAGATCAGCGTGGGCGGACGGACGCGGCCGTTTAGCTTTCCCTGGAACAAAGGAACTCATGATAAGTGAAAGAAGTTGTTCGGCTGTGTGAAGAGAGGGTTCATCTTTCTACGCGGGTCCACAGGGTCACTGCACTCACACCGTATTTCATGACGATGAATGGCAGCTCGGCTCATTTTCTTCTAATCCGCCAACACGTGTTCTCACGGGATTGTTTGCTTGTTGCAGAATTTTACAAACCCTTGTGTTCCCAAACATCGTTTGCTGCCGCCGCCGCAGTTTTATTCCGTTGTGTGTTTGAATATTGATGTATATATGAACATGGTTTAGGTAAAGTTAAACTGCTTCACTGTGTGAGAAAACGATTGAGCCCGTCTGTTAAAAAAAGGACTTATTTGGTGTGAAATCAATGTGTTGCTGTTTAGGCAAAACTGCGGAATGCATTTCAGTTTTTCTTGTACGTACTCACATTTTCAAGTGTTTGTTTCACAGGGTAGAAATGTTTGTAACAACCAATTATTAATACAAATGCACAAGATGAGGAAGAAAATGCACAAACAGCAAAATGTCGGTAGAAAAGTTTTCAAAGCGCGACTGTATCGTCTGGTCGGCATTTCCATCCTCCACAACGTTGCTCTTGTTGACGTGTAAAGATCAAACACTGCGACTGATGCATCTGAGGGGGGGGTGCTGTACGAAGCCCAGTGCTGATATCTATCTCTCCTCTCCAGAGCACGAGAAGCCCACCACGGTCATAGAAAACGGGGAAGTGCGGCTCAACGGGAAGGGGAAGAAGATCAGGAAGCCTCGCACCATCTACTCCAGCCTGCAGCTTCAGGCCCTCAACCAGCGCTTCCAGCAGACCCAGTACCTCGCCCTGCCCGAGAGGGCCGACCTGGCAGCCAAACTGGGCCTGACGCAGACCCAGGTACACGTTCGCTTTGAGACGCTCTAACAAAGGACTCATTTTAGACCTTTTCTTTATTTACACAGGGTTTGTGGAAATACATTTTAAATTAACTAGTGCAATCACAAAAGGACAGCAATTAAGGAAAATGTCATATTTATGTGAGGAATATACATATCCAGTTTAGCTGAGGTTCTACATCTATCTGCGCTGTTCCTCCACAATGCACACACACGTCCTCAAATCCACATAAAAACCTAACGTTGGCCCTTTTGTTCGTGTCAACGTACCCAACGCACTGGATGCTGTCGTGTTTACCAGGGATGTGTTTTAAGCCTCTTGTATGAACATCTGAAATTCAGAGGGGGTCATTAAACATTTTCCTATAAATAAATGTCTAATTTGCCAAATTCCATTGATACAGTTGATTAAAGCCTTGGGAACAATCCAACGAGAGGACATATGTTGGCATTGCATTGTTCTTTTTGTATTTGGCCTCACCGCAAACAGTTTCGTTTCTCTTTTCCGTCCGTCAATCACGAGTCATTAAAAGTGCTTTGATCTGAGCGGAAACAAACGAGTTCGCGTGGCTGCTCCTGTCGGGAGACGGCTCCTCTCTAAGGGAGAACGGAATCGTTCTGTTTCATTGGAGAGTTCCTTGAAAATAGGATATATATTCTTTTAATTTGTGCCGTTATTAACTACAAGCAGGACGAAGGAAAAAAATGTCTCATTATGAGCAACGTGGTCGTAAATTTTCTCTGCCTTTATTTGAGTCATACGCCTGTATGAATTGGACATGTAATGTGTAAGCTAGCTAGCGTTAGCTGTTTCTTCATGAATGGACTTAGCTACTGCCCATTTCAGTCATTTGAGTAAAACAACACAAAAAAGAGGATTACCAAGATTTCAGTTCATTCAAATATATATATTTCTATTTTAGAGACCAGGAAGGAAAACGATAAAAGTTTTAGCCTGACCAGTTGTTTGCCATTTTAACTTGCAGTTAAATTTCATTTGATACAACTTTTTCATTTGCCCTTGTTTAGCATTCACAGTGATTTTCTCATATTTTCATTGTGAGAAAAAGACAGATTCAGTTCTTCGAATCAAATATTTAAGCTAGTTAGGCTAATGTGTTTTTGGCTTTGCAAGGCTGTGACGTTTTGTTGCGAGTGTTGAACAGGTGTCATAGTAGAACTGTTTGAAAGACGACACACGCGTATGCACCGAGGAGCATGTGATAGCATGTGATATCATCGGAGGACCTGTACTGATCTCGTACAAATGAACCAGCGCAGCTTTGTTTACACTGGGAGTCAGGGACGAGCCCTTCATGTTCTCCTTTTGTAGTGGTGAGACGGTTTGGAATGCGGCCGGCTGCCAGCCGCACTCGCACGCACGCTTGCCGAAGAAGCCTCCCGCTTGTCTGCTTTGAGGTGTGTTTCGCATCAGGGGGTGTGGGGCCTTCACAGAATGTCAAGCGTTCCACTGATTGCAATTTAAGGGTCTGCCCGTAGTTGGAGGAATGCAGACACATTCTCGTGGGCTTGCGACAAAGAATATGGAGGCTTTCTGTGATTTTTTATTTTTTTTTACTACCTCTTTTGGTTCCCCGGCCCCTCCACCGTTTTGTTACAGAGACTAGGTAGTGTCAAGATGAGCCTTGTTATAAAAGGTGTTTCCCACAGTTTGCCTACTAATTATTGCCAGCCACGACGGCGATGCTGCTGTTGTTTTCCTGGAAACACCTACAGCAGGAACTACCACAAAAGTGGTTCGGACTACTTATCCAGGTTTTTATAAGTCTGTCTGTCTGTGGACAGATTCTAAGTCACAAGCAGTCCGGATGAAGAAGATGAAGGCAGTGTTTGAAGATGGGAGCTGTCAGTGTAATGGCAATTTCCAACATCGGGCCCAAGAGGCTTTTTCCCATAGAGGTCTGATGGCCAGCGAGTGTCATGTGATTCTGCAATTTCGACTCTTTACTGGTCACCAGAGCAACCACAGTGGCACTACACGCGTTGGAATTCAGACAGTCTGACTTTGAATCTAATAATAGTTAAAAAAAAAAAAAAAAATCTTGTCGCACACCACAAGTGAATCGGTTTATATTAAGAACAGTTATAATCTCTACACTCCATTTATGTTTATTTAGCGCTGAGCCCAGAATAAAAGTGCATAAGAGCTCATTGTAAATAAGAGGGAGAAAAAAAAATACTACCTTGACCATCCAACGCTGCGGTGGGCTCCACGGGCTCGTCCCTGTCCTCTGGCGGTGACCCTGGATATAGACAGAGACACAGAGCAGCTTGTCAGCTGGAGTAGCCTGCTGGGCACATGCTCTCACACACACACACACACAACCGTGCAGTTCCTCAGGCATATGTTGTGTACATTTTTATACACGTACACAAAATGGAAAGTTACACACACACTCTAGCCGATAGTGATCACGCGCCACATCTCGACCCTGCCTCGGTGCCATTAGGCCGGCCGCCAACCGCTTTCCGTCTGAGTCTCTAATGCTCCCAGACGCTGCTGAGAAATGGCACGTAGCACGGCTCCAACTGCTTTTCTTGAAACGCTCCCTATCTCCATCCATCTCTCTTTAGCGCGCACACACACACACACACACACACACACACACACACACACACACACACACACACTGCCCGTACAGCTTAAATTCAAGATTTCATGCACACACTCACGCACCTGGCATGCCTCTGTTGCCACCCTGCTCCGCTAATGCCGGTGTCATTGGCTGCGCTGGCAGGGAAGCCGCCGGCAGCCGTGCTGCTGCTGGAATATGACACCAATAGTTAGGGCAGAAGGCCTGTCACTGAGGCTGCATTAGCATTAGCGTGCTGTTGATTGACTCCCGGCTCGTAGCGCCCACTAAAGGGTTTCATTAGCGCCCCGCAGGCACTGGAGCATGACACTGGAGCATGACACTGGAGCATGACACTGGACCATGGCACTGGAGCATGGCACTGGACCATGGCACTGGAGCATGACACTGGACCATGGCACTGGAGCATGGCACTGGAGCATGACACTGGAGCATGACACTGGACCATGGCACTGGAGCATGGCACTGGAGCATGACACTGGAGCATGACACTGGACCATGGCACTGGAGCATGACACTGGACCATGGCACTGGACCATGGCACTGGAGCATGGCACTGGAGCATGGCACTGGACCATGGCACTGGAGCATGACACTGGACCATGGCACTGGAGCATGACACTGGACCATGGCACTGGACCATGGCACTGGACCATGGCACTGGAGCATGACACTGGACCATGGCACTGGACCATGGCACTGGAGCATGACACTGGACCATGGCACTGGACCATGGCACTGGAGCATGCGACTGGAGCATGGCACTGGAGCATGCGACTGGACCATGACACTGGACCATGACACTGGAGCATGACACTGGACCATGGCACTGGAGCATGACACTGGAGCATGACACTGGAGCATGACACTGTGCCCGTGGAGGGTTGTATATAGGGAACTCACCGTTGGTTTCAGGCCATGGCTGTAACAACTACGAGGACAATGGATTCATCATTTTTTTAAGTGGAATTGACAAAATATAGCAATTGGAGGAGTTGAAAGTTATTTTCTTAATAACAAGCATTATGTGGCATCGCTTCTTTATGATTTGACAAATTTGCCACCATCCACGCTAAATAATAACTGGAATGGAACAAGTTTTGCCTGATTATCACTTGGCTGAAATGATACTTATTATATTAGAATACAATTTACCTCAAGGACCACTTAAATTAGCTTCATAAATACCTTTAAAAAATCCCATAAAACTAATGTGCAAGTGTTTTTTCTCTTCTTCGTCCGTCCTTTGTCGCCGGCCGCAAGGTAAAAGCCTTTTGGGCGTTCGTTTTCTTTTTTTTCTCCATTTGAAAAAAACCAGTTTGACACCAAAGTATCATTTGCTGACTGTGTGTAATTATTTATGATTCATGTGTCCTCTTAAACTGACAAGTTGCCCGAGAGGCGTATTTGCGTAATTTAATGCTGAATTTGCAAGACTCCAGGAAACTTGAGAACCATCCAGTTGTGTCAACAACGCAACTGAGCGGTCGGTGTCTGCTGGTGGGAGTGTGCTTATCTGTGTGTGTGCACACGTGCCTGCGTGTGTGTCTGCACGCATCGGGGCAATACGTAGAGCAGAGGAGGGTTTTAAATAACCGTTTCATTTGTTTTCTTAGAACCTACGTTCCTTGACTGCAGTGTCGTCTGCAGCAGGTGCGGTGGTGCTGGTGAGGCACCATCATGTGTAATCTTAATTGGTTTTATTTTTGCCGTATCGGTTGTCAGTAATTAGAACAGTGACACACTTGGGTTGTCGCCTCTCATTGGAACCACCCTGCAGACTTGTTGGTTTCCTTGCGTTTTCCATGGAAGCCGGACAGACGTACCCATTCACTGAAATGCCATCTAATCCCTGGGTAGGATTGTGACAACAGGGGCGCTGTGGTACGGAGACATACGGGGGGGGGGGCATTTGACGTTGTTCGGTTTGGCGGAGAAAACGAGATCGGTGTCGGATCACAATAACGTGGCACATCTTGAGAGCGAGTTGCTCCGCAGTACAATCCGTGCATCGTCAGGTCACACAGTTCATCCACCAAGAGATATTTGTTTTTGTTTTTAATAACTACGCCGACATTTGCCAGATTGTCTAACAAAGATTGTTAGACAATATGAATTATCGTTACGTTTTGTCATTTATAAAGATACGTGGAAATATCGTATAAATACGTTCAAATTAGATTTGAAATAAAAACATTGTAATTTACTTTTAAATTAAACTACAATATTTTTTTGTAGTGTCAGCAATATATTGACTGGTCACACGTGTACGTTTTAACTTGTTTATTATTCCCTCTTTCACATAATTAGACGGTTCTTATCTATGTTTTAGACATTAAAACATTTTGGCAAACCCATATTTTTTCCTCCTCATATAACACCTTCCCTGACCCAAGACCAAATCGTACATCACGACCTGACTATTAACTCTTTCCCTCTCCTTTTCCTTCAGGTGAAAATATGGTTCCAAAACAAACGGTCCAAATACAAGAAGATCATGAAGAACGGGCCCTGTGGACTTGAAGGAGACCACCTGGCCCCCCCACCCGTGTCCTCCTCCTCCCCGTGCTCTCTGTGGGACATCAACATGGCCGCCAAAGGGGCGCCGGTGCACTCGGGAGGATACATGAACAACTTTGCTCCCTGGTACCCGGGACACCAGCAGGACTCCATGCCGAGGACTCAGATGATGTGAGAGTGCTGGAGGACGCGGCGCTTTCGGGACAAACGGTGGATTTATTGCCACTGAGGGACGTTGTCGTGGATTCGAGCCCCTCCGGAGGGCCGAAATACCACAGCTGGCGGAGATCAGTGAACAGATACTGGGACTTTCTCCTTGAAGCAAACTCATTGTGCATGACATTTTAATCTGCATCTCGAGTCCCGCACGTCGCGTGCTAAACTCACGTCACACATCCTACCCAACTCCTGTAATGTATGTTAGTTAAGTTATGTAACACCCATCGCAACCCAAAGACCCACCCACGAGGCCGACCCTCGTGCCATGTACAAATGTACGTCATGTACAAAAGAGACTTCATTTGCGCCGCGTATCGTCCTTAACAAGCATTTTATTATTTTTCACTTTTCTGCCTGTCTTGTTACCGACACCTAAATAAGTAATGACATAAATCAACTTCTATCACGAGCGGTACGTCAGCCCTTTGTCCAGGCCTATTGGACTACATATTCTTGTAAAATGACATGAGAGAAATAAGTGTGTGTGTGTGTCACGCTGGGAGTGAGAAGACGTAGCAGCAGTGTGTGATTTCTTCTTTCAAAAAGTGAAAATAAGACTCCCTTTCTGACAACCAGTCAAGTTATTCCTGCCCGCAGATCAACGTGGCCAGCCGAGACATTTGTGATTAAGCTAACGCCAACTCAAAGCTAACGCCAGCCCTGCGTCTCTGCTAGTGGACGTTTCCGGGGTCTTCTCAGCGGGCTCGGGTGGGACGGGTATGAGTGTGTGAAACGAAGGGTTCTTCAGGGATTCTTTATAGTTGGACCTTTAGGCTTGTTAAACGTAAAGACATAGATCAGATTGAAGAAGAAAGGTTACTTTAGATTATTGTGTGCATTTGTGTGTGACGGGGTGTAAAACTATAAAAAGTCTGAGGCGCATAGAGACTTTCAAACAGCCATTGTGGGACGTTGATTACACTCCAATAAGGTGTATGAACAAGCAGACATTTATGTTATGGTACTTATAATCCCCTTCTTTAGGACTATATGGGATATAGGCACTGAATCCACTCGGTTACTTCATTGTATGTCGATTTTTATGAATTTCCTCTATTGTAATAAAAGCTGTAAAATAGATCAAATCCAATGTATTTGAAAGCTAAGTATGACTTTTGTGATTTGGGCATTTCACTCCTTCTAGTAGATGGTCAGTTACTGCCTGGCCACTGAAAAAGGGGATTTCTGGAGGCTTTGCTTCGTACGTAATGAACAGGCTAAATATAAAGATCATGATGGGTCGACCTGATTTTAGCATCCTCTTAAAATACTGAATTAATATTGTTCCAATAATCTATTGGTAATGAGTCAGGACATGCTATGTTATTTGAAATAAATCAAGTCCAGTGTTCATTGCCACACCTATTTCATTTGGTTTATTTAACTTCCATCCAACATTTGTTTTTGCACCTTCGGACTGATAACAATGAAATTGAGGCTCCAGTGGTGTATCCCTGAAACAACATGTTCCTTCCCAGTGTACGGGTTCCTGTGCGCCCCAGTGGCCTGGAGCCACTTTTCTAAAGTCATAAATCAGAAGAAGCGGGTCACGTCTTTTGCCCCGCCAACATCTGGAAAAGCACAAAGAGTCGTCAAACGCCGTCAATGATTTTATAAAATGACCATGTCAATTATAGGCAATTTAGGACACAGCTTGTTAAATAAAGCTTTCACTCTGATGGTGTAATTATCTGTAATTGTCAGTCGAGGGAATGTCCTTCTGCCTCGGGCCTTGAAGGAAAAAGGCTAAGAAGTAGTAGATTACTGAATCACTGGATAGAATGAAGATTTCACCAAAAATCGGCATTCATCCTCTGTTGTATTTTGCTGCTCGTGGCTCGGTTGTTTTTTTGTCTGGAGGTTTCATTTTAATACTTCAGAACACTTCAATCTTTTGGAGATTATGTCCACACTCAGAACGTGATATTGCACAGTAGTGCCATGCTCTACATCCCTGTGACTATCGCCATGGAATCATCCTAATGTGTTAATAGAGCAAAAGGTATATTGAACACACATTGATGGAACGAGGACAAGTGGCTCTGAAAACCTTGTAAAAACAAGGAATGTTGTAGGTGGTCAGTTTATAATCCTATAGAGGCGAAGCACAGTGTCCCGTCTACTTCGGCCTCCCTCTGATCCAGGCAAAACGATCAATTCAAGCTTCAAGGGAACATTCTTTCCATTCAAGGAGTTTATCGATATAGTCCTGGGACCCACGTCCTCAGTCCATACCCCCCCTTTCCATCCTGCCCAGTCAACAGCGCACATCGACTACAATTGTATATCACTTGGCTACTTACCACTGCATAAACAGTACGGGAGCACGCTAAGGTCTGGATGTGATAACACCTATTTTAAGTCATTTTAAAAACTCACTATAAAAATGCGAAACCTGCCTCCTGCCCGCATTTCGATAGCTTAACAGGTGTGAGTTTTACAACAATTTACAGCAAATGTAGCCGATTTACACGTTGAGCGTAACAGGCCTCCATGCAAACCGATGATACCCGAGCTGGACGAGGACACCTCGCGATCGTTGCTGTGAGTCTGGCGTGTCAAACTCATTATAGGTTTGGTGTCAGATACTGACCACTTTCATATCAACATGGGCCAGACCATTAAGAAATCATCCGGCCGCACTGGACGCCCCGGCGGGCAGCATTCGGCCCGCAGGCCTTGAGTTTGACACCTGTCCTCTATGTGCAATTGAAAATCCTGTTAACAAGCGAATACTAATTACGCCTGTACAACAATCAGAACTGCGATGTTGTGCTGAAGACACATTTCAGTCGCCTCAATCTGCCTTCTCTCACACAACCACCAGCTCGGCAAAAAAGAAAAAGAGGAGGACAGAGGACGGGAGGAGACTCCTTGATGTCTTCATTCTTTCTGTATTTCACTCAGTAGGCGGTAAGTAAGTAATAATAATATAATTTATTATTATTGACATTTCGGATTGGTTTGCTGAGAGATATTACCTCTACAGTGACCTAGCAACCTGCTGCACTTGACTGTAGTCTTAAGTTTTAAAACCCCAGAAACTTGTAAAATGACGATAAAATGTAATTTAAAAGAGTAATCCAAATTGTTCAAGCCATGAATTCTTAGCTAAAAGTAATATTTTAATCTTAAAACCGAGGAGATCAGGCAATACAGTCAATAAAAATGTTTGTTTCTGTAGTTTTTATGAACCTTTTATTATTTTCTTACTAATGTCACTCCCTCGTATACAGGTCACCTGCCAGCGCCATCTGACCTCTTTAGCTTATCCAGAATGTAGCAGCTGGACTGGTTTTTAACCAACCTAAATTACTCTAACCTGCACTACTCCCTGCTGCTCCCTTCACTCGTTGCCAGCGGCGACCGGCATCCGTTTCACAGCGCATCTTGAGGCTTCATTTGCTTCATGCTGCTAGCTCGCTATTCTAACTGTATCCAAGGTTTGCAAAAACAGGGGAAGTGCTTTGGCAAATATCGTATCTATAGTGAGTGAGCTGGGTGCGGGGGGGGTGAGATGGCCATGTAGGAGCGACTCCCATTTCATAGTGACAACAGAATGATAAGGAAGCTCATTCGCAGTCACTCAAGCATGACGTTTCTGACGTACAAGAACCACAACAAATCGCGAGTTGTTTTGGGGTCGGTAGACATACAAGATGAATAAACGTGTTAAATGGTGGAATTTTCCTAATATGTTCCCTTTAAATCGTTGGGAGGTGGGCAGTGATGACAAACCCAAGCGCTTAATATCTCTGCCAGAACAATCATGAATGGGTCGAGTGAGTGTGTCTGCCTTTTTTTTTATCCGTGGCTCACACTCTTCACATGTTTCGGCTGGGCACTTATGGCTGCATGCGCAACAACCTCTCATCGTTGTTGTGGTTCACACTTTTTCCAAACAATTTTGCCTACGCCGTTGAGTTTTCCTAGCTACCGCGCTCTAAACGGACATTATCCATGGAGGCGGAACATTCTGGTTAATATTCCAGGTGAAAGTAGAACGGGTATAAGTCATTTACGGTTTGCGTAGCTGCGTGTAAACAGGGATGTTTGTGGAATATTATCTTTCATTTGATTGCTGAATTGGATTTTCTTTTTAGAAAGGGCGGAAGTGGAATAGCGTGCATGAAAACAACAAAATGCCAGTGTAGCTGCAATGACAAGCAAACTTTAAACATGTTGTTCATACACACGTTACAAATGCTTCACAGAAGCTTATATATGTTTTGATATATTTGTTATAGTTGTTAAATGGGACCACTAGATGTGGTGTGTGTGGTGCCAGCAGCCCTCTGAGTGGACCTGCACTGGCAGGGTGTTGGTAGGAGATTTGGGCATAAAGGTGAGTCAATGTGTACACTGAGGGCATCGCCGGGTAAACCCTCTTCCTCTTTCTCTTAATTACAGCGGAGACAGTTGACTGTGTTAGGGAACCTGAACATTTTGCCGTGATACCAGAGGACCACAGAAATATAAATGCGGCTTAATTATTTACATACTGAAAAAGCTGTTACACAATGTTGGAGGACTCCATATTTCTGTTCTACTGTCTCCTGTTTAATTATATTCTCCTATTTTTCTTTTCTTTTCTTGCATGGATCAAAAATCCAGGCCCATATTTATTTAATCTGCTCCTTGGATCAGCATCCTGTTGCCTGCGGATAAATTCACACCATGTAGTTTTATGGGAGACTTTGTTTCACAGACTTCAGACACAGCGCATTGTCCTAATGAACCTATGGAAGGCTGGGAGGGAGAGAGACCACGGCAGCACCACTCTGTCTGCTAAATAGAGGGCCAAAGAGGAAGAAGGCACAAAAGAAGAAAACAAAAAGGGCCATAAACACGCACTCACACACACATCCGCACACATACGCACGGCACATAGAGAAGTGATGGAAGTCAACATAGTTAGATTGTGGCCTCGTTTGACCAGAAACAGTGCATAGTTCTAAACAAGAAACATATCAGAAATAAAGGGTCCAACTTCCGACTTCAATCCGGACGTATTCAGATTCCTCCTGGATTCGAGGATTTGGACAATTGGTTGAATTCCCCTTTAAGCATCGAATAGACTTTCTGGGGAGGTAGCCTCAGGAAGCAGTTTCACACCCCAATAATTGGATGACAATCTCTGGTGCCCCTTTTTATAAATCGCCCGGGTCGGCCACTCCACAGGCGCAATTGCGTTGCCAGAATTTCCTTAAGGCTGTTAGGAATAGCTGGAGAAGAGCACGCTTAGCAGTAGATACTGTATTATAATATGTGTGATCAAGACTAGCGTTAGAAATGGCCCGCCGGGGGGTCCGGTGCGTCCCGCCGGGGGGTCCGGTGAGTCCCGCCGGGGGGTCCGGTGCGTCCCGCCGGATGACTTTGCTACTGTGAGAATTACAGAAAGACATAAATTGCATTAGCTGCTATTCCTAAAAAGTCCACTGGGGGTCGCACTCTGAGTGAGCGCGTGCAGTCTGACAGACGAAAGGCCCGTTGTGTTTTTTTCATATCGATTTGTTTTGCGCTCCCGGTGTGCAGGGGGGGTGAAGTTGATTGAAAAGTAGCTTGCGAGCCAAAAAAGTGTGGGGACCCCTGCGTTAGACCTTTCCGACCACGTCGTTACTCCGGGCAGCAGCGCCCGCTTGAACATGACTGTGTGTCCCCCCCATCCTCTGTCGGTCGGACCATCCCCGCGCCAACCCCCCTGGTCTAAGGACACAATGATCGAATAAAGCCATTATTTAAAATGTGATGATTCAAATACGTCCTGTTACCGGCTCATGTCGTTCCTGCGCCCTTTTTTCGGATCGCTCTCTATTTCGTGTATAGTGCTGGATAGAATGCATATTTATTTAACACCAAAGTGGTAAAGTATCTTTTTAGATACCTCCATAATACTATTATGTTACTATTCCGAGTTCAAACAAACACAGGACTTTCTAAAGTGAAACAAAAGTTAATGTTAAGTTATTTTGAACCAAACCACGATGTATTTCCTATCCGAGTCACAGGATACGGACATAACAGACGACTTTAAAAACTATCTCAAGGATTGTGTTTTTTCTTTTGTTTTAAATACAGACTAAAACATGACAGAACAGCTATGTGAGAACGGGTTAACTCACTGTTTTGTGTTTGTTTGTTCTTTGTTAGCAGAAAAGCATGCCTAGTGGTAGAAATTATAGTGTGTGTGTGATGTTATATACACATTTGAATCGTTTTTGTGGTATGAATTAAATTGTATATCTTGTGTGTCATTAATTAATGTATACATGACATCTATTTTACTCTGTCCACCCTGGGAGGAGGGTCTCAACTTTGACGTCTTCCCAAGGCTTCCTCCTGTTTTCTCATCAAAGGGTTTTGGGAGTTTGATGGCTATCATGTTTCGAATTAAAATACCAGAAATATGAAGTATCATGTTATGTTAGCGATATTAGTAATATGATGTTATGAAATATGATCTATGACATGTTATGATGGGTATGTGCTTGGTGTTGAATGATAAAAGTGACTTATTGTTTCCTTGAAGAAGCTTTAGGCCAAAGGTGTAATCATTAAATGTGTTGCGTTATTGATGTTAAGTTAAGGAATAGTTTGGTTAGTGAGGGATTCCAGATTGGATCTCAAGATGGTGCCAGAGAGGGAACCGGAGCAACAGGTAACAAACAACGTGTGGATTGGGGCACGGACAAGGGGACGGCCAACCTGGGCGGAGCTACCGTTTGGGTTACAGCCAATCGTTGGAGGTCGTAAAAGGACCTGTACCCGCCTCCAGGAGTGAAAAGACAGTTTTGCGGACAAGCGGTAGATTCAACTCGAGACAAGACCCTTTGAATACTATCTTAGGGATTGTCGTGGAGCAGGGGTAGAGAGTTGGCGGTTCGAGCCCCGGCTGCCCAATGTCGCAGCCCAAGTGTCCCTGAGCAAGACACCTAACCCCTAATCGCTCCCCGGGCAAAAATGTAAAAAAGCCACGGGTTAAAAATGCAATATAAGTCGCTTTGGATAAAAGCGTCAGCTAAATGACCTGTAATGCAATGTAATATTGGGTGTGATACCCAGAAAAGAATAACAGCATGATAGTAACCAACAGCAATATTAAACAATGTATTTAAATCCTTCCTTAAATCCACACTTGACCCAGTGATGATGCTCACTCAAGCGCGTCAAAAAAAAAAAGACAATCACAATCTACTGTCACAGCAATCCCACTGTCCGGTTATGGGCAACATTGTCACACCTGTATGTCAAGTTGGGTTTCTGGCCGGTCTCCATGGTTGTTTTGTGACTTCCTGTTTTATTTTGAAAATTAACACTCCTCTCGTTTCAGGCTCCTTGCCCTTCCTCATGTGTCACCAGTCACCAGATGATTCCTGATCGTGTCCACCTGTTCCCACACTCCCCTCATGTGTACTTATAGTCTGCGTCTCCCCTCGTCCTGTGCCAGTGTGTCATGGCCTTTGCCGTGTACACCCGCCTCAGGAAAGAGTCAAGCCCAGGTCACAGTTCTGGTTTGTACGTAGCCCTTGTGGTCTCCTTAGTTGGCCTCGTGCCGTTTTTAGCTCCACAGCTCCTCAATCTAGTTTAGAGCCTTTTGGTTTAGAGCGATTTTGGTTTTTCCTTTAACTATTCAGCTCTCTTAGTTTCGCCGGAGCATTTCCCCGTCATCTCTCTTCGGAGAAGTTTTTTGTTTCCAGGGACTTCCCTGTTTTTCTTTATTGGTCAATGAAAAACGTCAGCTGAACCCCTACTCTGCGTCCGAGTCCTCCTCAGGAGCTGAATTAAGGCCTTCGTTTAGTAAACAAAATAAAATGCTCCTTAAGACTTCCCAGGATGGACAATTACTCTTTAACAGCGGAGGATAAAATCCTTGACTTTTGTTTGTATTAATTTAATTAATTAATTAATACTGGGTATTTATTTCTAATATGGAAACTCAAAAGGTCAGGAGTAAGATAAAAGATCTTCCCTGTGGACAAGTGGGCATTGTATTGTTTGTGTAGAACAATTTACACGGCGCACGTTGAAGACAAACAGGAAACTGTTGAGAAAAACTCCCTTGCGTGAGGACAAAAACTATAAAAATGAAGACTTCACAATTCGCTACCAGGCAGATGACAACATCTGCCCCCCTGTAGAGTAGAAAGCAGAGAGAGAGACATTCATAGAACAAGACTTATTGAGAGAGAGACATGGAAAAACATATTAATTAAAACAAGTCATAAACAGTATGGGGGCACTTTATATTTGCTTGTTAAACTTGACCCATGCGGTGCGAAAACACATAGGCGCTTAGTTTCGAAGTGCAACTGAGATACTGCAGACCTTTGCCTGTGTGTGTGTGTGTGTGTGTGTGTGTGTGTGTGTGTGTGTGTGTGTGTGTGTGTGTGTGTGTCAGCGAACACCAGAGTCCAACTGATATATTTGGCAGGTATTGGAACTCTTGGGGAGAATATTTGGCCCCTTACTCTTATTAAAGGAACCGTGTCAGAGATCTAGTGACACCTTGTGGTGAGTCGTATATCGCAACAAATAAGGACATTGTGCGTGTATCTTTGGCAGAGCTCAGCTGTGACAGTGACCAGGGGACATGCACGCTGCAGCATGATAATAATGTACACTTGAACATTAGGAAAAGGGATGAAAGATACCTCAACCTCCGGGTTCATGGCGATTTAAGGGGCTCGCCATATGCATGGATTAGAGACGGTCCTGTGGCTAAGACGTGTCCTGTGCCGGAGTGTCGCTGAGCAAGCTTCCACCTGCTCCCCAGGTGCTCCCAATCAATCCCAAGTCCCAAATTGATAAAAACAAAAAACTGTGAGCTTCCCCATTGATGGACTAAACCAAAACTAAAACCAGCGTTCTGGTTGTGGACGTAAAAACATGGCGGTGCCACATAGTCCGTGTACGACCCACTTCCTACGTGGACGTAAAGATAACACACTAACGGAAACATAGTGAGGAATTCCTCTAAATTCCGTAGTGCAGCAGACGTAAGAGAGTCGTCAGTGTCCTTAGTAACTGCGGTGTGTCGAGTTAAAGTCAAACAAGGAAAGGTTACATTGTAGCAACACGTTTTTCATTTTTCGTGTGTGTGTGTGTGTGTGTGCGCGTGTAGCTCATGGCCGGAGGCTGCGAAAGAAAAGTACCGCCGGCTCCACCTCCATCTTTCACGATGCGGTTAGAAACGCTCCTTCCGCCGCTGAGTGGAGCTCGCGGCGGCTGATGTCATCGCCTCGTCCCGCCTCGTCCCGCCCTCTCCAGCCTGGCGGAGGATGCCGACGCGCTGGGGCTGTGAAGCGGTCACCTCCGCTCCCCTCCCGAGCGACCCGTGGCGGTAGGAGAAGGCCGGGGGGAGGGAGGCGGGGGGGGGGGTTGTTTTCCCTACTTGCTGGAGCCAAGGGGGATGAAACCGGAAAGACACAAGTCCACCTGGTTGGTCCTCGGACTCATATTAGTGTGAGTCACATAAGGTTTTGTTTGAAACCCCCAACACAACACAATGGCTTTGGTGAAACAGTTTTTTTTCTTACCAGTCAACAAGTCGCTGCAAGTACCTGTTCGCCCTCTCCGCCTGTCTCCGTGTGACATTCAGATACATTCCTCTCTTGACACCTGGAAGCTGAGGCTCAGCGCAGGAAGGTTACAAAACAAACATGGAAGGCGTCCCGGTGTGACTGTGGTCGGGGGGTCCACACCCTGCGTATTGGCAGGGTTTGTGGGTACGATTGGCCGTGATGTGTGAAGGTGGATGTCTGATTGTCCCAAGTGCCCCATGATGCAAAATGATGAGTCCAACACAATAAATACTCATAGCGTGAGAGACCCAAGAGTCTGCCGAATGCAGAGATACACTTTATGTGTCTCTCTGGGGGCAATTCCAAAAACTGGTACAGTCTGCATTCTTTGAAAAATGTGATAGATTTTACTTTAGTGTGGACAGAGTGACAGTTGTGTCCCTCTCGGGGTCCTGGGGGCCAAATGTGTAAGTCTGTTGGATTTACTCACATGTGTGCGACCAGCATGAACTGAGATAATTGTCAACTTGTATTTTGAAGAAAATAAAAATGTCCCCACATCTCCACAAGAGAGGAACTCCTGCGTAATATCCCACTTGCAGCAGGAAATATTGATTTCTTTTTAAATGAACTAATTCACAATGGGATATTCCATTATATGTTCCATTCCATTTTCTTTGTGCGTTTCCACAAATGACAGATCTGCCCAACGTGGACTTTTTGCATTCGGTCAGAGCAAGTGATGTACAGTGTCGTGCAACTATTGTGGTGAAGTAGCATAATGACACGTATACAGCAGGAAAGTGGGTGGATACGCAGTACTTAAACGCAAGTGCTTGTTTTTTGTTACATAACAACGTTTAAAGTAACGCTGTTTGAAGTAACTATGAGTGTCTTCCTTTTGTTGGCTAACCTGTGGGTTCGGGTGGTTGAGAGACTACAGAGCAGCTTGTTTGTTGCGCGCACACAAAGACACACACACACACATACGCACACAGACACGTCTCTCCTCCCCTCTACAACTGTGTAACACATGAAAGCAGCGTACACCCGTCTTTCTGTGTTATTAGTATCCAAAGACTCCAGAGTGTCTGCTGCACTGTCACCTCCCACAACCTCCTTTACACGCATGTGTGTGTGTGTGTGTGTGTGTGTCTATAATATATAGATGGGTGCAACCTGTACTATTGACTCAGTCTGACGGGCAGACTAGCAAAGCCCCGTCAGCACACTTTGAACACCTGTGTGTGTGTGTGTGTGTGTGTGTGTGTGTGTGTGTGTGTGTGTGTGTGTGTGTTGTACACGTACCTGCACGCTACAAGTAAGACGCTAGTCGCTAATTAAAACTTTGGCATTTTATTTTTTAAGTTATTTCCTCAACAGAAAAAAGTTCCTGCCATTTATGCTCTACAGTTGACACTATAAATAAAAAAACCTGAGTACAGCACATTTTATTACAAAATATAAACCACTCAGTTTATACTTTTTTAGTAAGATGTAAACATCTTTTTAGCGTTTTACTGATGCCAATCAGTGTACTTGTCATACAGCACTGTCGTCCGATGGCTTCTGTGGCTCTGGAGGAGCTTTGTCAAATTACCCTCATGATGTCATGCAGGGTAACTTGGTGTACTTGGAGATTTTAAATTTCAAAACAAAATTGTGCATTTAGAAGGAGACATGTAGTTTGAGGGATGTGGGAGTTCTATCAAACAGGGGAGGGGGTCTAATGAAGGACGCTACAATATGATGCAGCATTTTCAGAGCCCGACTCATACTAGGGGATTAAAGTTGTCTCAGCCTACATAGCTTCAATTTTGGCTGTTCTTTTGAAAAATGGGGAATGCAAAGTGTGACACTAAACATTAACTAAATATAAATAGATGTTGAGATTCATATAACCAGCTACGACATAAACTGTCAGATCCGATTCCTGTATAGAATATTTTTTGAAACAGCATAAACACATCTGAGCCGCTCTGATATGTGCAATCAACTGTACAAGTACCTAGAACATTGTCGGACTCACGATGGACAATTTAAAGTAAATCTGAATCAATACAGCAGAACCATAAATCTTTTTTTCTTAATTCAACGCATTCTTCTTCCTCGTCAAGACATGGTGCCTTCATTTCCCAAAATGCAACTCGACCGCCGACAGATCAGTTGCCGATTTGGGCTTGTTCATGCTAGTAGCAGCCAGCGGAGGTGAGGGGCGGGCTGAAGAGGGCCGCTAGGCTAACTTCCTTCTGAGGCCACACCCCCCATTTGTTGAATTTTCAAACGTGTACTTTGCTTGGAGCGATGTTGCTGGAGGCAGATCACCAAACTTCACACAGTTCGCTCCATTCGGAATCTCATTCTCACATCGTATTCCTTGTAGAACGTAAGGTTTGTAGTTTGGCCCTAATACAAAAACACCCCTCTTGTGGATATTTTCAGTGTCTACAGTTTGTTTTTGCATTGAATGTTTTATTTTAAAAGGTTATCAGTGTTTAAAACCTTTCAGTGTTTTCCACTTGCTTGTTGCAAAAGCCAGAAAGATGTCAGTAGTATTGCTTTTTGTTGGGAAAATCCCAAAGGAATTGAAGGGAAAGGTTTTTTTGGCTTAAATATGCTCATACCTAAAATATTAAATGCAAAAGGCTGCTCTCCATGAGTTTATACGAGTTCATAATCTTCAAAGCGGAGGAACAGATGACAACGAAGGGCAATTCCACATTAATTGCAGAAAAGCCGGTGTGACAACGTGTTTTCTGTTTTTTACGGTCATGACTCTGATGATTGCTGTCGGGTGTTTCTGTTCCCTCAGAGCCCAATTATCTAAAACAAAACCCACAGGTATTTATGCGCGGCGAGGCTTTAGTCGAACTGTTTGACCAGAGTCTGCGTTACAGCGTCAGAAGACGGCCTCCAGACTTGTGCCGCGTGGTGTTCAAGACCCAACGGTGCACCCTGCTGCTGGTACCAGTTCTGGTGCGTGAAGTGCCCCATGCAGTCGGGCGACGGATCCACAGGAGGCTGATAGGCGCCCTGTCCTCTGGCGGTGGGATCCACAAGCGCATTACTCTTAATACTGCCGCCGTTGCTTGTGTTGTTGTTGTTGTGATTGTTGTTATTGCCGTTGCTGTTTTCCCACACAGCTGGGGACGGAGGAGAGTCGCAGGCCATGGAATCACTGGCCTCCGGACTGTGCTCGAGAGGAACATCCCCAAGCGGAAACTCTCCGTTCTTGTAGAGCTTCTTGAACTTGGAGCGACGGTTCTGGAACCAAATTTTGACCTGAAAAAACAAACATCAAATGATGAGATAACTTCAAGCCGCTAAAGAACAAACAATATTAATTGAAATTCCTATGTTTACTCTCGTCTTATCTCCAGTTTGGTCTCCACCAACTCTGGCACTTTAGTCCCACCAGGATTTAGTTTCTGCTGAAAACAGTTGCCCGAGGATCAAAATGAGGCGGTGAAACAGATAAGTTGAAAATGAACCAACACATGCAACTCTAATATGAGTTTTATCATGTAAACCCACCGTACTGTGCTTACTGCCCAGCATCAAGGAGGTGGAGGAGACCAAACATTAAGTTAAAAAAAGCGTAATTAATGGATTTACATTAATCCAGCTGTGTGAATACGTCCTTTGTTAACACACAGGCCACGTTACACGGTTATGTTAGCTTGGTTGAGAGTGTTGAATGCATGTTCTGTTGATTTGTTTAATTAAATTGATTTCCACCGCCAGGCACAATATTAATCCATGGTCTGGCCTTACTTGCTTTGTGTTCAGTCTCTGAATCTAAACTGATCTTCTATCTACTTAACAGTTGTTCCTACAAAACGATATCTTCGTTCCAAACAATAATACTTTTAAATAGTAATAAAGCAGCTTTCATGTAACACAAGGACATTATCTAATATCTTCTCCTTGCCAGCAGAGGATTATTAGATTGATAGAGCTCCTTTAAATGTTTTGGTTGTATGAGAGCTATTGATGCTGAGATTTGTATAAACAATAATAAATCCACAAAGGCAACAGACCATACGACAGTTGTTGCTCACGTCTTTGTTTTTTACGAGCTCGGGTCTGCAGCCTAAGCAACAATCCTGAACAATCATTTAATAATTTACAGAAGCCGTGATAAAACACCCTGCACAGCGAGTCAAGACGATACGGTGGTAAATCATTGAGGGAGCAAAAGTATAAATCCATAATCAAGACTATCTCTAGTCCGACGAAAGTATTCATATTTTTAGATATCATATTAACACTATCTCAATTTCATTCTTAAACAATTGAATTAGTTAGTTGATTGTTATCTTAGTAGTCTCGCTTGGCAGAGCATTTCTTGTACGTAAAGATTAACAGCGCACTTAAGCGTGCTTTGTTAAGATATGAACTAAATGATGTAATGATGCATCTACTTTCAGCGCTTATCTTATGAGGCCCATTCGCAGAACGAGCTGACGGTTTGGCCACGGCTCTCAAGTCTCACGCATTGAGCGAGTCACTCATTTCGGTCTCTAGTCACGCACTCCCGCCACACATCCAATTCCTCACGCCACGTTGGTTGCCCCCCACTCCAAGCCCTGCCATGGAGTGACATGTTGTCGGGGGTGGACGCCACGGCTGACGGGGGAGGGGGGCTGGTGGGGCCGCGGCTCGGACCGGAGTCTGATTTCTTGGCGTGAGGAATTGGATGTGTGGCGGGAGTGCGTGACTAGACACCGAAATGAGTGACTGGCTCAATGCGTGACACTTGAGAGCCCTGGTTTGGGACTGATCCACGTGATGAAATGAAAGCATGCTAACAGCCTTTAATCAGACCCCCACTCCACGACCACGTGGCGCAAACTTCCTTTCCTTTCTGCGAGCCTGTGGCTAAAAGCTAACTGTGCTAACAGAACTAACAGTGCTAGCCTGGGATATCATCCAAAATGATACCGTCAATTGGGGCGCCGTCATCATTTTTAGCCGCCGGACGAACGCAGTGCAGAGCGGCGGTTGAGAGCTAGCTTGCGGGTTCATAGCACAGGGCTTCAACTATTTCTTACTTCTACTTTCTCACTTACTTGCTTCACTTTTAAAGTAGCAAATGCTAATCAATCCTTGCATATCAACCAAAGCATACGTGGCTTTTAAAACCAAGACACAGATTTAAATCGCTTTGTTGATAAGTTCAAATGACATGGAATTTGCTTTTGTCTTCCCCGCTTGAAGAAGCGCTTCTCTACTTCTCCTTTCATACCAACAATCTGACAACTACAACATAAAATGTCCACTGCTTTTGGGTCTCTTCGACATACTTTAGTGAGTTTCCAGTGTTTGCGCTTGTCATTTTCAGGTAAGAGATTACACTTCATCGTGTGGGGCCTCACCTGTGTCTGCGTGAGGCCCAGCTGCGCGGCCAGCTCGGCCCGCTCCGGCAGGGCCAGGTACTGAGCCGTCTGGAATCTCTTCTGCAGCACGGCCAGCTGGTAGCTGGAGTAGATGGTCCGGGGCTTGCGAACCTTCTTGGGCTTCCCGTTGACCATCCGCACCTCCACGTCGGGTTCCTCTTTCACTGTTGAAAGGAAACAGTAAGAAGCCGTGTAACGTGCACGCTAACTACCTTACAGGGAGTCTTTGTTTCACTTGTGGAACCTTATGATGGATGTGTCTGTTTCTACAAATAATGAAATGAACTCTGATGGTAGTTTGTTTAAAAGAAGTTGTGGTGTAAAAATAGCCATGGCCGCTACAGCTCAGAAATTTCAAAGAAATTCCGGCAGTCCCCTGAACTTGTAATTTTGGTCTGAGTGTCTCCCACAGCCGGGGAGGGAGACAGAGATTTATAGGTGCTTTTCATGTTGCCTGCAGGCCTGCTTGTATACATATCTCCTTGTGCGGTTTTTCTCGTAACCAACTTCTTTTTCTTTTTCCTCTTGCAGATATACAGCCGACCTTACTCCAAAAACATTTGTTTGCATTTGATCGACACATTTATTTTTGTAACAACTTGGTGTAATGTACTCAGTATTGTCTTATAATATGTTGGCACCCTGGAGGTAATTGAAAATCATACACGTGTTTAAAATATTGATTAGTTATTTTTAAATATTTTCAATTGGAAAACTATTTTACCAAAATAATTCATATCCACGGATTTGATTTAAGGGTTTCATGATAGGAACTAAAATGACAGAAATGAATGTTATAATTTTGTTTGCTATATATTTGTTTGCTTATTGGGGGGGCACAGCCAATGGCATGATAATAGGCCTGCGCATGTCGGATGATTCAAAGGCCAAGGCTGACTGACAAGTCGCGACACCTGAGGTGCGTGGCTGTGTTCCAAAGTCCCCTGGGGCCGTTTCCCGGAGTCAACTCCCATTTGGAATGTCAGAGAACAGTACACAAGTCTGCCAAGTTTCATTTGGCCTTCGGTAGTTTTGAACAGGAAAATCTTCCAGGGTTTGAAATATCACCTGCTCATTCTCATTGCCGTTAATGTATTAGTGCAAACTGTCAGACGTATACTGCCTCTGTTAATTAATTACTTCTTCATTCCTAATGTGAGGTGAGGTTGAAAAAGTCCCTTCTCTCAACTAGGCCATGGCATCCATCCAAAGAGCATTGGGCTGACCTTCCAATCAACATCTGGAGGAAGTTTAAAGACTGATTGGTGATGACAATGAGACACACAACTAGAAATCAGTTCATTTTTGTTGTTGTTGACCTACATACAAACTATCCTCCTGCAGGCTGAATCTTCACCTCACCTGAAATAATAGTTTTTTTTTAAAACTTTCCTCTGAACCTTCGAGCCACACATAGGCTATACATACATTTGTATCCTGGCAAACGTGTGTGCAATGCTGACGTTTATAAGGGACGCATCAGTGGAACGTGAAACCTGAAGCTTCTCCACTTAATTTCTGGGAAATTATAGTCTACTTTTGACCTGGTAGAAGTAAGAAGAACTGCATTTGACATCCCATATGTAGTGTTTGTGTAACCCTCATTTTTAGTTTTTACATTTTTTTATATAATACTGAAAATAATACAACATAGCTCAGATATAAGTGACACGTATCACAAGAAAAAAACAAGGTTTAGCTGAGTCTATATCTTCCCTATTCACAAGATAACCTAATCACACTGGCATTCAGAATTCTGACTCTACTGATCATCTGTTGGAGATTCAGAAGTCAAGACTAGAGCATCTTAATGCTCCACAAACCACGCGTAAAGAGTTTCGTCGGCAGTTTCTATGTGCGTAAAAACCCGTGCGTAATGATTGGGTTTATGTGGCCAGACGTGAGCTCTCGCCGTGCATCAGCGCCCAGCGGGGTGTGGGGGGCGGGGGGGGCACAGACATGGAGATTTTGTTTCGCGTTCTTTAAAATGACCCAACGTTAACAACGTGTTGTTGTTGTTGTTGTTGTTGTTGTTGTTGTTTTAAACTCACCGTCGTGCAGCGCCGCCTGCGCGTCTCTGCTGAACGCCCCGTGCTCTCTGTACGCCGAATGGAGGTACGAGTATTCCGCCTTACCGACCGGGTAGGCCCCGCCGGCAGCCCCCCCGTGCACGTAGTGGTGGTGGTACGCGTACGGGTTCACGTGCTGAGCCGGGTACGTCTGCTGCTGCGACGGGTAGAAATCCTGCGCGCCGTAGAGCGCGCTCTGGCCGCTGTAGAAGTCCATGTCCGTGGACGAGGACTCCGGCAGGGTTGGAGAGTCCTTGCTGGCCGAGATGGAGCTCCCAGCCATGATGGGGAGGGACGGCTTTTTGCCCTCGAAGACAGGTGAGGAGTTCCCGTTCATTATTATTCTGTGAACGAGGAGCGGCCAGGAGGTCCTCTCGGTCCGGAGCCGATGCTTCCAAACTCCCCCTGACGCAGGGACCGGGCTGTCCACCGTGGCGGCGCCCAACCCAACTAGAGCTCCTAATTACAGGGCGCGCCGAGCCGGGCAGGGCAGAGGGGGGGCGGATGTCTCCTTCTCATTGGCCCGCCGCCTCGAGGGCCAAGACGTCGCTGACTGTCGCCCGACTGTCTCCCCGCAATATCGCGCTCTCTCTCCCTCGCTTTCTCAAAGCGCGCGTTATGGTGTTGCCATTAGGAGTGTTTACGCAATCAGGCTAAAGGCTTTACGGCGCTGCGCCCCATTCAGATGCGAATACAAGAGACAAGCGAGCCATGTGGGGAGTTGTTTGCAGTGCTGATCGGCCCCGGGAGGACAAACAGCCTTAATAACATGAATAATGAATACAGCTTCCAATACACTTCAGGTGCATTTAAGGTCAGGTCACGGTTCTGCACATGTAGGTAATATGATCTTATCTTACTACCAGTTCATAGTTCCCTTAAATTACTAATGGCATTATGGAATAAAGAGCTCGCATATGTTATTTCCACCGTCGAGGAAAGTTGCATCAGTACCGGAGAGCGTGAGCTGCTCTCGGAGCCAGAAAGCGGAAAGGGAACCTCAAACACGAAGGCGTCAGCTGCTGCAACAACAAAGATATTCCCTCCTCAGCTTCAGCACGTCTACACGTTCATGGATTATGGGGCACTCGAGGACATCACAAGTTTGGGTCAGTTCTTGGATTCGGGAGGGATACGCAAGTGTTTCGTGGGCAAATACATAGTTTTGTTGACTGTTAAATCTCGTAGGAATGACATGTATACATTTGGAAGTAGTTCTCTTTAAATGACACATTTTGGCCAAAGGTTGAGACCACTCTGCATGCGCTCTTTAGCGCGATTCCCCGACATGTTCCAGTTTGATGCTGCTGGCGTGTAATATAACTGCATACAGGAAATACATCTGAAACTCGCCTTCAGAACATTTTACAACTTTACAATTTTTTTTATTCATTATTAGCATTTTTCTTTCTCTTTTGTCGTATACCCTTCAAGTCCATCGCAAAAAATGAGTTCCCAAAAAATGTACAGCTTTCTTCTTCTTCTGCCCGACTCAGAGCAGAGTTCTTTCTCCAGCCGCTTCAAAAGCACTTTGTGTGACCAGCCGCGCTCTCAGTGTCTCTTCTTACCCATTGTTAAAAAAAACAAAGAAAGAGAGAGAAAGAAGACGTCTGAGGACGTGGGTGAATATATCGGGCCTCGGATGAACAGAGTTGATTGGTAATGTTATCTACAAACAGGAAGTGGGGGAGGGCAGGGGTGTCAATCAATGTCCTCCTCCCCCTGCGGCGTGGTCCCGTGTGGACTGAAGAGAAAATCCCCCATGTGGTCCACGTAATCCCAGAATGCATTGTGAGTGGGTGGAGGGGGCGGAGAAGGGAGGGAGGGGTGGGGGGGGGGGGGGGGGGCAAAAATTTTGTTTTTGAGAAACCGCTGGGGGGGAAGAAACACACACCACCCCCGTTACCGGAAATATATATTCACACGGGTGTGGGGAGGCCTGGGGGACATTTTCTTTAGATCATTTAGCAAACAAAAATTGTATGCCGACCGTCGGTGAGAACGTAGATATTATCCGGTGGGGGAGCTAAATGCGACACACACTTCTGAAGGTGGGGTAATCGCAAAGGTGGAGTCAATCCAAGTGATTCAGGAAGACACCCGGGGGGGTCAGGGGCATAGAAAAGCCGGGATTGGGCGGGGGGGTAAGAGAGGCCGGGATTGGGCGGGAGGGGTATGAGAGGCCGGGATGGGGCGGGGGGGGGTAAGAGAGGCCGGGATGGGGGGGGTCGTCTGGTTTCATTTCCTCGCTGTGTCGTTTGAAGTGTTCGTACCCTCCTCGTCCTCCCGGGCCGACGTGAGTGAGTGAGCAGAGGTCCTGACTGGAGGGGGGCTGGGGGGGCGAGATCCACAGTTTCACTTTCTCTGAGGGGGGGAACAAATGTTGTAAAGCATTAGGTTGTATATGTTGTATCATGTTGGATGGAGGTAAAGTTTGTGAGTCTCGTCCTACCGATTACTCATTCACATATATTAGTAAGTATTATTTGGACTACCTGGCGGACGGGGGCCCCACATGGGCAGCGCTTCCCGCGCTTACCTTATGTCAGCTTCTTGGCTTTGTTGTAGAGCGAGTCCACCACTTTGCTCATGTTCTGGATGGTCTCCAGGGCCGCCTCGTACGTCTTGTCCACCGCCGGCTGGTCGAAGACGATCAGCACGCCTTCGCCTTGGTCCAAAATGCCTTGTTGGGTTAAGGTGTGTGTGTGTGGGGGGGAGGGGGGGGGGGCAGAGAGAGAGACGGTGTGAAGGAGGACACTCACTGATTCAAAGGACAAAGCGCTACACGGAGTCACTGGGCTGCAGACATACCGTGAAACTTCTCATCCAGGATCATCTGCGATAGTTTCCTCTCCACGTCTCCCTGCAAAACACACCGGGGTATTTATATATTATATGTGGGTATTTTTGATCATCAAAAGAAAAAGGGTAAAAGGAGCCACCACGTGATGAGCTCTGATGAAATGAGAAAGAGGAAACACACCTTGGATAGTTTGACGAGGGACGAAATGTGGGCCATCTGTCGGAGAAAAGGAAGACGAGCACTGATTGGACACTTATTCAATACAGTGTCTCTACTACCTTATCTCCACTGAAATGACCATCCACTATATAATAATAATATAAACCTATATTCTTATAGCATTTCAGAACATACGATAAACGGACATGAACTTGACTCTCAAAATGACAACGCCGTTGTTCACTGGGACAATATATCGTCCTGTACAAGTGAATATGGTGAAAGGCCTCATTAGTTCCTACATGTGAAGGAATCTGACCGGTCGTGCCCATTGTTTTAATAAACACACACACACACACCTGGACCCTGGAGAAAGGCTCAATGACCCTGATGAGGTTCTGCTCCAGCAGGGTGTCGTACAGCGTGGTCAGATGGGTGCTGATGATGGGGTCGTCCCTCAGCTCTGCTTTGTACTCCGTTAGTGCCTTGGGGAGGGTTGTCGTGGCGAAGGGCGGTTTCATTAATAATGTTGCAAGGGAACATAGACGTAGTTAACAGCCTCCAGAAAGTAATCACACTCCCAACACAAACCTTTTCAAAGTCTGCCAGCGACCGGTTCTTGCTGGCTTGCGCCACACATTTCAGCGAGTCTGTCTGTAGAACCAGAATATAATCAGGTGGTTGTGGACACATTCATCAGAAACAGAGCAATAGGGTGCAGCAGCAGCCATCGGCCCAGTTAAAAGGCGTAGCAGTCAACAGTGTTGCCTACTGAAGACACCCCCCCTCCACACACTGGCCCTTGGCTGTCTTCACCACAGACGTTATGAACGGGGAAAGAAGCCGAGCGGCTACCTGTCTGCCGGCGTAGCGCAGTGCGAGCTTCCCACTGATGAGAGACTGGACGTCCTCCGGCCTTGAAAAGGAAACAAGACGCATCAGACATTGCGGGGCAGCAGGGGCTTTGGCCGTGGAGCCGGGGGGGCCGATGTACCACTTACAAGTTGAGCATGATTTTGCAGAGCAGCATGTACTTGAGGGCGGTGACGGCTCGGGGGCTGTCGATGGAGTCGTAGCCCTCGAAGGCCTCGTAGAAGTAGGAGAAGGCCGTCTTCCAGTCCTTGTCCTCCGCTGCGTGAATGATTCCTGGAAAACAGCCGCGCACTGGCGTCACATGTGAGGTCACCTGACGTAGGAGAGGAGCAGCTTCCCCCACTTCCATGTTCCCTTGAATACACCCAGACAGCCGCACACACCTGACTGCATGTCTAAAGCCGCCTGCAGCTTGGGGGGGCAGTAGATGGCGTTGGCGGTGGTCCGGGCGGAGGTGAGGGCGGCGCGGGCCTTGGGCAGGTTGCTCAGTCCGTGGTACGTCTTGCTCTCCAGCAGCTGCACCTCCACCAGCAGCGCCTTGTCGTCCATCTTCTTCAGCTCCTGCAGCAGCTGCGTCCCTGCGGGGAGAAGGGAAAAGGGGGAGGGGGGGAGCATGGCGTTCACTCACACAAACGTCCTCCATTCCGCTCTCATTGAGCTTTTAGACATGAATCATGTGGGAAAACTGCAGGAGATTCGACACCCACCGAGTTGTAGAGCCTCCTGGTAGCATTTTGTGTCGAAGTACAGCGAGATGAGACGAGCCTGAGAGGGAGGGAGGGGGGGGGGGGGGGGGAGCAATAATTCACTTGATGATTAAACTTGTGGTCTCGTAGGTTTTCTCTTAGATACACAACTTAGGGGCGAGTAGTGGTTGGGTCCCTCTAACGTTTCCCTCCGACCGAACGATTCAATGAAGGTAGGAAGGTCTGTTTTTGTTCAGGTGATATTTGGAAGGTACCGCTTGATGTTTTCACGGTTCCTTGCCTCAGCATGTTGCTCTGGACGGCTGTATGAACCCCTTCGCTAAGCTAGCACAGAGCGCACTCACTGAAGCAGAGGGGTTCTGCAGCGTGCTGTGAAGGATCTTTCTAGTGTTTCCAACAAAAAATCTGAATTACATTAATTTACAGAGCAGAGCTGGTTGGACCCCAGCAGGCCGACGCTACGGTACGATTGGCCAGTCTGCGTTCCAGGGGGCGGGACATCGCAAGGGGTTCGGATGGTAAAATAACGATGATTCTCCCATTTAGTCGGATTGCGAGTACGAGTTACTTTTTTTGCACAACAACTAAACCAGACAGCCACCAAAAAAACCTCGAGAGGGCCTGCGCTTGTGTTGCCAATGTTTTCATTCCCAGACTTTCTTGGGGGGTCGTGCCCCCCTTCTTCAATGGTAGGGGAAGCACTGGACCCACAGCATCAGGCATCCTGTCGCAGTTATGTGGTGCAGACAAATGGCCCAGACCAAAGCGAAGAGGCCGGCTGTGTGAACAAACCTCCTCAGCGACGCCAACCGCCACCAGCGAAAGTCTCACCTCCAGCGCCTGTCGGAGGAAGGTCCTCTTCTCCACCTTGGCCCACTCTATGCACTCCAGGCAGAGCTCCACCTCCTGGCCAGTGGCAGCCTCCATGTCCAGGAACAGGTCCAGCAGGGAGCGGACCAGCCGGGCGGCCTTGGCCTTGGAGATGGAGTTGAGGAAGGGGCGCACATATTTCAGCAGACCCCCAAGCTCTGAGCAGGAGAAACAAGTGCAGCACACGGGGGTGAGGACCATTGGGAGACATTCCCTGGACTCCACACAGAGGAGAAGAATCGCCGACTGCACCTCGCGGGTCGGTATTCACAATTTGATAACAGATCTAATGACAACAAACACGAGGCACAATTAAAAAATGAACAACACACATAATCAGTCTTTCTTCAAATATCAAATCCACAACCACTTTAGACCGACAGGCTTACACATGTGTTTGGCACAGTATGACATAACTAAAGCTGTGTGTGTCTGTGCACGTGTGTCCATCCAGATGTCCCCTTACCTGCAGCCTGTCCCGTCTTGGCCAGCAGGCCCCCCAGCTCCAGGATGCTCTGCTCTTTAACGCGCACAGCCTCCTCATCGTTCTCCTGGATGTCCCGCTTAACTACAACACAAACACACACACACACAATGCGATGATGAATCACTGCTGTACGGCCAGAGGAAAAGCTGACGTTGATCGCTGTCCCTCTGTCTCCATGGAGACCAGCTTTGTGTCAACTCGTTAAGAGTTTTAGAGTAGCACAGCTGTCACATTAAACAATAAGCAATCACGGCAACTATGTAACTACGCTTTAATAGTCAACATATGAGCATAAGCACACACTAGAGGCTGTGACAGAGTAGGTGTTTAACTGAGTATTAATTCCCATGTGGGCCTGACCCCTGACAAGACGAGTAATAGCTGCTAACGCTAGCTAGCCCGCTGTCAAGCAATGCGCCGGGCTAGCTAGCGTTAGCTCGAAGCTAGCCGGTGTGTTGCTGGCCGACTAGGCCGCTGTTGCTGACTCACTGTGCACGCAGAGAGAGAAAGACGGCGGCCAGCGCTGCGCTAGCGAACTAGCATTAGCTTAGCGGCTAGCCAGGCTAACAGGGAGACTGGCTAACTCGGCTGCTCCACGCTTGATGGGCGGCTGTGTCGCTTCTGTGTTTTAGCGGGGCGGCGGTTCTTCCCTCGCGTCGCGTTGTGCCGAGTATATTTACCAATGGAATGTAAGATATCGATGGAGGCGTTCCGGTCTGTTCCAAGAAGCGACTGTGCTCTCTGAAACTCAGCCACTGCCGCGGCTGCCATCTTTGCTCTCGCCTGCCTCCGCTCGGAGGTCCGCTGCGCCGGCTCGCTTTCCGGTCAGGTCGTTCACGCGCACGGAACAATGTCGCCACCTAGCGACGACGGAGGAGTTCTGCATCGCCCCAAAACGCTATTAGGACCACTAGACATCCTTTGTCGCTCATCATTAGTATCAGTGGACCTAGAGAAATGTATTTAATTACCATTCCTTAGTGTCACAGTATTAAGTCATATTTTTCATAATTGACAAATTGTGTGTTTCAATAAATCATGTTGGTATACATTCTATATACCTTTATTTCCACACTTGAAAGTGGTTAAACATTGCGTTTCAGACAACTACAGTGCATTACAACTAAATATTTACATTGCAAAATGAAGGTCACGCATCAATTCAAGTCAAAGTTGCTTAAAATGTTTGCTGGCATTGTCACTTTATCCATCAGACAAAAAGGGTGGATGCACAGAGTGGACTTTAACGCTGCAGATTAATGTACCATAAGAAACCTTAATGTACGTTAAAATGACTTTATAGAGGCAAATCCAATACAGGGACATTTTGCAACGTAATAAAAATCTCTGCTTAAACGCAACCCAAGCTTTGCGTTTCAAGGCTGGACGTTTGGCTCAGTGTCCCGTAGTCTGTTACTGCGACTAGAGGACATATTGAAGACGGTTTACAGGCCAGACTTCAGAACAATGGTTGGCACAAAGTAAACATAAATAATGTATTACATATAAAAAATTGTCTTTATTTCACAAAAACAGAGCGAACGCCGCAATAAAAATCGAATTTCACAAGTTAAGTCACTCGTGAAAGCCGCATCTGCATTTAAAGGACGATGGACAGGTAGTCACAGACCTGAAAGTAGAGAAAATCAGTTAAGTCACGAGTGATACTGGCAAGCAGCAAAGAATATCTGTGGGACGTCTTTTAATTAAAAAGAACACAATAAAAAACTTCGACGACAACTAGTTGTTTATTTTAAGCGGTCAGGAAAGCTATTGTTGGGGTGTTAACTTGCGGAAGCTTGAAACGGTGTCCTACACTGCAGCTGATCATCAGGTTGGGAGAGCAGTCGCTGTCCGGAGCCACAGAGAAAACCGGGTTGTGGGGACAGTCGTCCATGTGCTCCGACACTCTGGACTCCAGGAGACTCCTCAGGACATCGGGGGAGATGTGACGTTTCTGAAGATAAAAAAGGTAAAGCAATTACATGAAATCACTTAATAAACCTGCTATAAAATTTAAAACCACAGGAGGAAATTGCAAAGAGTAATATTAATTATTCATTCAAATTATTGCAAATGAGCCATTAGCAGCTAATTTTATATTGAAGAAAAGTTCCTTCATATAAAAAGGTGGAGTGTGTGTGTGTGTGTGTTGTGTAATAAAACAAACCTTAGTGTTAATGTAAAGTCCACAGATGCAGGAGATAAAATGACTGTTGATGTTCAGGTTGTTCCTGTGAGACAAGAAAATCACAATGTTGTTATCAACAGACATGGCACATGCCAGCTGTGAAACATTTCCAGATGTTTGCCTCTACAATTATTGAATGGAAGTGCAGCTTGAAAGATAAAAACACCATGCAAATAGTGTTTGAGCAGCTCGACGTGGAGTTGAAAATGAGTAACCAACCGACTCACATGTGACAAATGGGGCAAATGATATACGAGTCCTCCATCCCCTCCACAACAGACGATATGTACTGCTGCTCAAACAGCAGGTTCCGCTCATATTCGTCAATAATTGACACTTCTGGGGAACACAGGTTTCCAAATGTCTTAACCACGCGGTGCACATTCACTTTGATCACTTTCATGTCAGTAGTTTGAAGATGTCTTGTTACCGTGAGACACGAGCTCCTGTTGGATCTCCTCCAGTACCGCGAGCTCATCGTACTCCTTTGTGACACTGAACATCTGCTCATACAGACAAAAGACAGCAGACCTCCACTCGGTTACACGACTCGTGCCGATTTCATGGAAACAGACGTTGAGATGTTTTATGAAGAAGGTCCCTCGAGTAACCGACCTCCGCCATGCCCTCTGGGCCCCACAGCGACGGTAGTCTCCGGTCCTCGGATCGCAGGGCGGTCCACTCCTCCTCCATCACCTCCTGGACGATGATGGAGCTCCGCTGCGGACTCTCTCCCAGCTGGCGATATCGCTCCAGAAGCCGCGTGCGGCTGTTTTGCAGCCGGTCCACACATCGCTGCGAAACACGGAAGAAAAACAATAAACCGAGAGGGGACCCGCGGATCTCCGACATGCTAACGTTAGTTAGCTAGCTACAAGTTAGCATTGGCCAGCTATATTGCTCACCTTGCGGTACGTTTCTTTCCATGGCGGAGTAGTTCCTTTATAAAGTGCGCGGTGTCTGTGCAAAGCATCCATTTTCACCTCGACCAGCGGGTGTAAAGTGACACGGACACAAAAGGCTTCTTACAAACAAACTGGCTCACACGGGGAGAGACTGCCAGACCAAAACATTTCAGCTTTTTTAAACCACGTGACCCGAAACCCGGAAGTTCAGTGTCTCGGGTTGCATGACGGGTCTTGTAGTGTTGAAAAGTAGTTACCACCTCAGAAGAAAGGATTCAATGACTTCAGGTTTTCACAAGAAATCTCCCCAAGAGCGGACATACGGTAAAGCTATCGAGGAATGACATGATGGTGTCAAAACAATTAATAATTACCGTTAACACTCTTTATTAATTGTCCATACATACTTAATCCAGTATAAAATTGTTTTTATTTGAAATAATGTAGCTGGAAAAGACAGTAGAAGTGTAGATAACAGTACTGTGTGCACCTGACATTATATATATATACATATGCAGTACAGACATGATATATCCATATATATCCATCCATATATATTTTCAAATAAAAACAAAAACAATTTTATAACTAAGGAATGGCTAGGACCAGTCCAAACAACGGAGCCGCTCGCTCGCACCTGACCCATTCGCACCGTGACGTTCCTGATGTGTGCGTGGCAGTGACGTCACGTGGGAGGAGTCAGATACAACTCGACGGGGCGCTCGCTCAGGATCTCCGCAGAGCGCGTGCCATCACCAAGGAGCACCTGACTTTAAACGATAGAGGCGATGTTGTGAAGTGGTAAATGCATGTTGATCATCTATGCAATTAAATATAAATAAATACAGATATATCCGCGAGGACCCGCTGAGCTGCTAACAGGTGTGGGGGCGCGCGCCGGGGAGAGAGAGAACATGTCCAATGGGAAAGACGCAAATGCTGCAGAAAAGTGAGTACGGGCAGCTGACACGGCAAAAAGTTTCTCTTTATAAGATTTCATGTCTTGAACCTTTGCATTCTGTTCCGTCCAAATAAACCTGCTCAGTGAATATTGCTGAAATATTCAGTTGACCAGGAAACGCTACATTTATTCATCGTTTCCTTGTCAAGTTGTGACGTAAGTTCTGTGTTGTCAGGAAATAGTTCCAACTTCAGCCAGAGGCAGGGTCTTGGTCAACAAACCGGCTGACTTCTTACACTTCCTTTTGCCCAGATTATTAACTAGTAGTGTATTCATGTGGCTTCAGTGCTGTACTGTGTGCACCTGACATTTACAGTACTGTTATCTAAAAACATTATTTTCAAATAAAAACAAAAACAATTTTATACTAAGGAATTGCTGGGACCAGTCCAAACAACGGCCCAGATTATTAACTAGTAGTATATTCATGTGGCTTCAGTGTGACGATGCTCTATGATTACATCATGTGTTTTGTGATAAAAACTTTGAAAGCGTTTTGTGCACATTCCACGTTTGTGTTTTGTGGTGCAGCTCGTCGCAGATGACTCTGAAGGAGTGCCTGGATGAGTGCATGGAGGCCCTGGACCTCTTCCTCAACAACCACTTCAAGGAGAGCCTGGACAGGCTGCGGCCGAGGTAACACAACCTAACCTGCCCCCCCCCCAGTCGCTCTGGCTCCACCGGAAGGCTCTGAACCGGGCCGCCTTGAGTTTCCTGTATACTTTCTTTGGTTTTAGCACGTTCTGTGTGTTGCGCTTCAGAATGATGTCAGCACTATTTGCTTTCTGTGTAAGCTCGGGCTGATGTTGAGGAAGCTCCGTTCGTCGGCGCTTCCCGTGGCGCGCGGCGGTTGCCCCCCCGTTTAGGCCTTTGGCTTCTCCAGGATACGAGGTGTTTGCTTAAGCTGACGCCCAGAGGTCCAACCGATCCGAGAGCCTGGAATGGCAAGCAAAAATAAACACAAGACGTGACTGGGCAGGGCCTCAGACAAGAGATAGGTTGAATAAAGAACAGCACATATATTTATATACATATATTCCTTATCTTTTCTCGCCGTCAAAATGCAAACGGGGCGGCAGTAGCTGGCCTCTCGCCTCCTGTTTGCATACAGCGCGAAGTGTATTGATTGCTGCTACTGCGTGTCCCCCTTCCGTAGAGTAAACGAGAGCATGTACCACGCTCTCATTTACGCCACCGTGCTGGAAATGCAGGCCATGATGACCTTCCAGCCAGATGACATCAGCAACGCGGGGCGAACCATGAAGAGTGCCCAGGAGGTCTGCCACAAGTGAGGAGGCTCACGTGCACGTAGATGTGTATTATTGTTTTACGCTCTAAATGAGCTGCCAACTTTCTTCCTCGGCCCGTGAGCCATAATAGGCAAATTTATCACCGAGACGATTTGCATGGCTCAATTTGCCTGCGTTTGCATCAGGGGAGCTGATGTGGCGGCTGGACACACTTTTGGATTGACTGCTGTCGGCAAATATTGGGTCATTTGGAACGCAATTGGTTTATTTTTTGTTGATGAAGTTTTATCTTTTTTTCAGGTTCCGGCGGAAGTCCTCGGGTTTGTTGAGCAAGTCTGGAGGCAATTCGCTCACTGAAGGTAAGAAATCCACCTGAAAAAAGTGTGAATGCAATGAAAAAAATATGTAATGTACACAGATTGTTCTTCCTTATTTAATGGGCCATAACGTTTACATCCAGTTTGTTTTCAACAGGGTTTTATTTTTAATTTGTTTAACCTGAGTTATCTAAAAAAAAAAAAAAACTTTTTCATTTTTCCGGTATGCGGAGTCAAGGCACCTTTGAGCTGGACAATAACATTCTACTGCAAAGCATTCGGAACATACAAATGTCGCAATTTCCTTATTTAGGTAACTGATAAATCTGCGTAGTGTCTTAATTACTCAAAATATAAGCCCACTAAATCCTCCTCGCTGGCATCAGTCTTTATATATATAGGTTCGACTTGTCTAAATCTAATATCTTCTTCACTTTCCACAGATCCCTTTATTAACCCCGAATACACTCACTCCCTATAATCATCCCCCTGGATCTATGATTGACTCCTCGCTTACTGTAGACCCTGTGTGCAAATCGCCCCGTCTCAACCATCTCTGGTGTCATGGACTCCGCTAAGTGGAAGCACACCTCTCACCTGAGGCAGAGCCGGGAAGGAGAAATCAGAAAACGATACCTGACTTGGGTTCGCACTCTTATCCCAGTCCTCCTCTATTAGCGCGAGACACGGGCTGCTGCAATGCCAGATTTGGCCCGTCAAGCTAAAATCTACCCAAATATGAATGACAGCTAGAACAATCAAACGCCAACCTCTCAGCCAGAGGCCTCATATACTCCAGTGGAAACACGTCCTCCCACTCTCTCACACAACGGTCGGTTAATTAAGGTCTGAAAATAATAAAATAAAATAAAACTTAAAAAGATCAGGTCGCCCCTTTTTAATTTCATTTACATATAACAAAAATATAAGCCTACTAAATACATCAACCGTGTTCTTTATGTTCCAGCAACAGCTGGTGCCTGAGTGGTCGCCTGGTCGCCTGGTAGACTGGCAGCCACTTTTACAAGTTAGCGTTTAGCCTTGTGTGCAAATGACGGTGCCAACAAAGTGTTAGCATGCTAACATTCCCAAATCAGCAGTTGGCTCGGAAATGCGTTGATGCTGATTGGAATATTGAATCCCTTTGCAAATTTTTGGTTGAAAGACAAGTGGAGATCAAGTGACAATACAACAGGACAAACGGTCAGCAAGAGGGACACGGATGTCCGCAAAAAAATGGCGTTGCCCGATAGCGGCTGAGCTATTTCAGACTCGGCCAATGTGGTGGAGAAACCGCCAAACAGACCGGCATTACTAACCCAGCTGGTGACATGCAGGATGGATCTGATGCTTTATTGCTTTTTGAATTGGGTCATTTTGTGTTGTTTTATTACTAAATGTGCGTGCGTGTGTGTGTTTGTGTGTGTCTATGGGTGTGTTTTTGCAGTGCAGCTTCATGCTGAAGTGTGTTACGCAGAGTGCCAACTCCAAAGAGCCGCTCTTACCTTCCTACAGGTGCAGTAGGCTGTTTAAAACTCATACATGAACTACAGATCTTTAAATATGTGTAGGTCACCAAAGGTTCACACATTATCAGGGTTTTCAGGACTGTATTTGACTCAGAAATTTAAATTCCACGTGTTTCATCTATTATTCGTAAAGGGACATCTAATCCAAGCAGCTCTTGCCAAATGAATCTGTGGCCCTTATTCACTTCTGTATTTTATCTTTGCAGGACGAGAACATGGTGAGCTTCATCAAAGGAGGGATCAAAGTACGGAACAGTTACCTAATTTACAAGTAAGTAATGAGATATTTGTCTTGTGTAATGGTAATCTTCATTAAGACTTATTCCAAAAGTGACCCTGCCAATTCTGCCTTTTATATTTTGGGAGACTTATTAAAGAGTAAAGCTAATTATATTACAGGTTTTCTCAGTTTTTCTCTCTCAATTTTTTTTTTCTCACTGTAGTTTTTCTGAGAATGTTACCTTGATTCTTTGATTAAGGCCCTAATAGGCCTTGTGCATGAGGTGGGGGCTGACATGACGGCAAAAGCCGGTTGGTTGGGTAATTATGGTTTAATCACACGAGACCCCTAACATGTGAAAGTACCTTGTTAAATCTCCAGCATACAGTTTTTCTACATTGATTTCTGAGCTGCTTCTAAACTCGTTCTTGTTTTGTTTTCTCCACCAGAGAACTGCATTCCTTAATAAACTCCCCGAGCTCGCTCAAAGGAGCCAGCCACGTGCACTTGGAAGGAGGAATATCCTTTGGAATCGGGGCCTTTAACCTGGTGCGTCTGGCGGCACGGTGCCTCCATGCGCCGCCGCTGCCTGTGTGTAACCGCGTGTCCTCCTCCTTCACAGACGCTCTCTCTGTTTCCTCCACGGATACTCAAGGTTCTCGAGTTTGCGGGATTCTCCGGAGACAAGGTGCGACGCGTGCGTCTCCTCCTGTCCTTCACTCGCCCACCCGTGTCCCACTCATTGTTCTTCTGTTTTTCGGGGGGATTGTGCAGGAATACGGTCTGTCTCTGCTGTGCGACGGCGCCACGGGGATGAATCTGCGCTCCATGCTGTGCGCCCTGCTGCTGCTCTGCTACTACACCTTCCTCACCTTCATACTCGGTGGGGCCGCCGTCCCCCCCCCCCCCCCCCCCCCCCACACTCCTCAGAAAGTTCAGACCTGTGCGGTGACCTGCCAGACGTCACGTGACTCGTCTCTGCTCTGTCCTCTCAGGCACCGGCGAGGGGGAGGTGACCGAAGCCGAGAGGCTGCTGAAGCCTTTCCGTCTCCGGTACCCACGGGTGAGTGTCACTGAGGATCGCCACCCACTTTCTCTAAATCACGCTCGCGTCCGGACGGCCGGCTAGCGAACGTGTCAATCCTGATGGGTGCGATCGACGGCGCTCTGTGACAACGATGAGTCATGGCAACAAACACCGATTGTTTGAAATCAGCCGGCCAGTTTGGGGTGATGCAAAAAGAAGAGTCATTGTATTGAAAATGATCCAACATCATTCTCGATTTATTCTCGATTTATTCCATTCCAACATTGTAGCAGTCTCCAGTTTCAAGACTTCTTCTATGCGGCAGGATGTTCATGCAGCAAACGATGGTCCAGTCACAGTCAAACATTTCATTACATGTCATTTAGCTGACGCTTTATCCAAAGCGACTTAATATAAGTGCATTCAACCATAAGGATACAAACCCAGAAGAACAAGTGCAATTTCATTAAATAAGCCAATTTACAACTTGATATAGATAAGAGCCATTATAAGTGCAAGTTAAGTGCTAAAATTAGTTAGTCTTTTAGTGGAGGTAGAGTCTGAAGAGGTGTGTCTTTAGTCTGAAGATGTGAAGGCTCTCTGGTGTCTTCAGAGAGCTCGTTCCACCGTTTAGAAGCAGGACAGCAAAGAGTTGTCATCTAGTTGAGTGTTTTGCTCTCAGTGAGGGAGGGACGAGCAGTTTATAAGATGCAGAGCGGAGAGTGCGGGTCCGGATGTCGGGTTTGACCATGTCCTGGATGTAAGCTGGACCCGATCCATTCACAGCATGGTAGGTGAGCACCAGTGTTTAGAACTGGATGAGCCACCGGTACCAGTGAAGAGAGCGGAGGAGTGGAGTAGTGTGGGAGAATTTCGGAAGGTTGAAGACCAGTCGAGCTGCTGCATTCTGGATGAGCTGCAGAGGTCGAATGGCGGTGGCAGGGAGACCTGCAGGAGGGAGTTGCAGTAGTCCAGGTGTGAGATGACAAGAGCCTGAATCAGTACCTGCGCTGCCTTCTGAGTGAGAAGGGGACGTATTCTCCTGATGTTGTAGAGCGTGTACCAAGTACCTTGTGATTGACATGATTCTCCAGATTTTGTTGTCTGACATATGCCATTTTAGTGTCGATAGGTTTGGAAGATGTTTGGCGTGTTAACATTTATGGAGGCTGCAGAGTTTGTGCACCAGCTTGTGCTTATCACTAGTTGTGTAACGGCTTCTTTGTTTTTACTTTGTTTTGTTAATTATGGATTTTGAAGCCACTATATAAGATGTTGCGTCACATGCAAGACACGTTTCTCTATGGGGGCATCAAACAATCATTTCATTGTATGGTAGAGTTGGAGACTATGGTCCAAAATATCATCCCGATGGGGTCAGAATATCTGTTTGGTGACAACGATGCTCATTTTGATGCAGGTTATTCTCTGTGTCGAGCCGGGAAGAAACCAGAACGGTACTATGGTTCATATACAATTATTTCTGGTGTTTTTATACTCTGAGGATGAATCTCATAAAGTTGTCATCCTTATTCTGGAATCTTTTTTTGTAAGACCACCCTGTCCTATACGTATCATAACTAACCTTTGGATAATTTAACAAGTCTTCCAAAAGGAACTTTAATGATTTTACACAGTCAAAGAACAGATTACTGGTCATGGCTAATGGTCATGGCTGACCTGAGTCAGGTGGAAGGAAAACTCCTTCGCTTTCCTTCCACCTGACTCACATCCCCGGGAATGCACGTCCCTGTTGACACTCCACCTTTTGCCCACATGCCGCCCATCCCAGAGAACAAACCTCGAGCTCTGACACAGTGTGTGCCGAACCCCAATGGAAATGTGCTGCTTAAACAAGATGCATGAGATCTGTCCGCTGATAGCGAGTTATTTAACTACCAGATGTAAAACTGTAATACGGCAAACAGCCTCCACTTTACACATTACATTTGTTTCTTCTTTCCAGGGAGCAATTTTCCTCTTCTTCGCGGGCAGGACGGAAGAGATCAAGGGGAACATTGATGAGGTGTGTGTCATGAAATGTTTCAAATATCCTTAAAGTTTTTAAAAGACAACAAAACAGGTTTCCGTATGAACAGATGGCAACTACATAGGAAAACGTGTGTGTGTGTGTGTGTGTGGTAGCCATTACATTACGTATCCTTATTGAAGGTACGCTTTAACCCAAAAATGACCATATTTTGTACATCAATTACTCGCCACATGTTACCTTGAATTGAGAATCCGCTGTGCTGCCAGGCCGTGGCCCTGTTCGAGGACGGCTGCAAGGCCCAGCAGGCGTGGAAACAGTTCCACCACATGTGCTACTGGGAGCTGATGTGGTGCTTCACTTACAAGCGGCTGTGGAAGATGGCGTACTTCTACGCCGACCTGCTGAGTAAGGAGAGCCTCTGGTCCAAGGTACAGAACCCGGGGGGAGGGGAGAGGGTCTTTGGGACAGACCAAAGTGTCCCAAAAATACCACCTGTTTTCTCCCTGCTAGGCCATGTATGTTTACATGAAAGCTGCTTACCTCAGCATGCTGCGGGAAGACGAGGCCAGGCCTTTTGGGGAGGACGAGGTCGAGCTGTTCAGGTAAACAAACAAACACACACGCACACACTGTAACTGTTATCTCAGGAACACACTGCTGCTGTCCCGAGGCCCATGAGATACTATCTTAACAAAGTAACGCTTGTTTGTGTACCTGGTTGTGCGCACGCGAGGGACTAAATCATTGACATTTCCCCGAGGAGCTGGTGGAGACCAAACAAGGAGCAAAAATGAAGTTGTTTTGTAGTGAACGATTATGTCGCTCCATGTTGGTGTCAGGTGTTAATATGTCTCACTTTGGTTTTGCAGGCACCCAAGTGGCCAAAACATATCTTTTTAAATGGTTTGAGGCACTAACCTCACTAACCAGTGTTTTTTAAACACGGGTATTATTGGGGGTAAACCCAATTGTTTTTCATTTCTGTGGTGAATTTGAGTATGTAATCAGGTCTTGATTTCTTTTAGTCAATATTGAAATTATATATAATATTCAAAAGTGCCATAAACTTGTAGACAGCCGCTTTAAACACACTCACATTCACAAGTGTATTTGTTTAATTCCTTGCTGTGCTTTGTTTAGTGGCGGGGGAGTACATCATTGTAACAGATCTGCACCTATTCGGGCCACGCCGATCCCCAATATGTCCATTATTTCCCTGTGTCGTTCCAGACAGGTGCCCACCTTCAAGCAGAAGATAGCAGGGAAGTCGCCCCCGACTGAGAAGTTTGCCATCCGCAAAGCCCGGCGGTACAAGGCCCGCTGCCCGATCCGGCTGCCGGTGCCCGTGTTGGTAAAAAGCTTCTCGCTGCCGCTCTGAATGCGCATCGCGTTTTATCGGTCACGCCCGTCCAACAGCGTTGTCCCTCCGCTTTGCAGGAGATGATGTACATGTGGAACGGCTTCAGTATGATCAGCAAACGGCCGGAGCTCACTGAAGGCATGATGCAGACTTTGGTGGAGGCGGAGCGCACCCTGCTGGAGTCTCCCGGTAACCCGACCCGCTCGCCTTACAAACGCAACCGTCCGCAAAGTGAGATGGCCTTGACGCGTCCGTGTGTGTCCGCTCCTTCCTCTGCAGGCAACGAGCACTCGGTGGACGACCGCTGCGTGATCCACCTGCTGAAGGGCCTGTGCTTGAAGAACCAGGGCCTCCTCCAGGCCGCCGAGGAGAGCTTCGCCAACGTGTTGTCCAGGTGAGCTCCGCTCGGGGAGGGGGGGGGTTTCCTGAACGCAACGCCGGGAGCCTTCTGCGGTACAGCGCACTGATCGTAGGTCATGAAGTCACCTGACCTTTAGGTGACACTCTTGAAGTGCCGCCGCTTGATACGCGTGTCAAAATGTATCCGTTAATTCACCTTGTCCCCGGGGTTTGCTCAGTGAAAAGAAGATCCGGTTCGACCACTACCTGGTGCCCAACTGCCTGGTGGAGCTCGGCCTGCTCTACATTGACCAAGGCCGGAGGGACGAGGCCATCCAGCTGCTGCACAAGGCCAAGTATGTCACTGCCTCACTGCAGCCTCATTGCTGATGAGCCCTGACACCTAAGATGACCAAGAGGAATGTTGATGTTTTTCTCCCGTGCGCATAGAATATGCATTTAATACATAAATGCGGTACTTGATTTTGATAAAAAGGGTCCTTTAGCTTAGACCAGCAGCCTGCACAGCTTCCACATGCAGCACTATTGTGAGGTATAGTTTTCTATTTTGTAATAGTAATGATATTGCAAATATAATTATCTACTTACTATTGTGTTATTCATTTATATTTATTTACATCGAAATTAGAATTATTTTGCTTCTTTTGTCCCGGCTGCTACAGAATACAGATACGGTCTCCACTATGTGCAATGGCAGTACGAGACCAGTAGAAGTCGCCTTCTGCCTATTAATTCAATACAATTTATTTTGTGTAGCCCCAAAACACAATTTGCTTCCTAGGGTGTTCTAATCTGTACACATGCGGGACCCTTATATCGGCAAAAGGAAATGATTGCATCAGTAGCGTGAATAGATTACATCTACATCTTGGGGTAATAAAATGGGCTGTTGAAGCGAACAACCCGTCAACCCTTTGCTCCCTTTGGATGAACGGTGACGTATTCAGCTGATTGTTCAATGAAACAGCACACTTTGGATGAGCGTTTTCTCTGCTTTCACCTGCAGACACAACTACAAAGAATACTCCATGGAGTCCCGCACACAGTTCAGGGTACACGCCGCTCTCGCCAAACTCAAAGCCGACCCGGGGGAGGACGAGGACGAGGACACTCGCATGTAGGAGGAGGGCTCTTCACACTCTGGAATCTGGACATTTTTCCAATCACAATTATTGCTGCTGCAGTAGTTTTTATCAATGTTCAACAAGTGCATGCTGGGTATTTTCTCATTGCGTTCAAGTGGACCTTTTGGGGTCTACAGTTAGAAAGGTACAGAAGGTATCAAAGCGGGAAAGTGGAGTTTGTACAGCAAACTGTATTTACAATATTTTTATGTTATATTGGAAATCAAACACTCAATGTTGACCACAATAAACATCTAATGTAAGAAATGCTATGATTTAATAAAATGCATAATAGTGGCTTTATTAGGAGCTCTGTGTTTACATCAGAGATTCTATTAGATGAACTGGCTGATGATCATTAGGATTCAGTCCCCTGCCAGTATTCTATGCACACGTCTTTCATTTTGGATTCTGGATGGCTGCAATGGAAAAGACTGTTTAAGCTCGTCAACTTATGTTCTTTAGGCGTGTGACGTTGCAACACTTCCAAATGTAAACCTGTTTGCATTAATAAATTCTCAATATAAAATTATTTTTAGTTTGTATTTATCCTTTAAAAACAGTCAGCACAGGAATTCATTTATTGCAATGAGAGCTAAATGTTTATAGAAATGAACATATGCATGTGCAGCTCCTTACAGAGGCCAATCGGGTAAAACAAAGACCCCACTGATTGGGATACTTTACAACAAATGTCCCTCGGAGTGCGGCGCAGCCTCCATCTCACTCAAATATTACAGTCATTCATCTGGGACACTACGAGGAGGCGGCAGGAGGTGCGACGGGCGGAGCCGCCAACTGCTCATCTTTCAGTCTGCGCTTCACTAGCTTCTTTTTCTTCTTCTCCTCCTTTTCGATCTCAGCAACCATCTCCAAGAACTTGGGGCTGCGGGGGTCCAGGGCGTAGCCGAAGCGCTCCCGGGCCTCGGCCAGCAGCTTTGCGCGGCGCGACTTCTCCTCCTTCAGCTTGCTCTTGCTTTCGCGTTTCTCCCGCCGCCAGTCGGCGACCATCTTGGGCATTTTGGCCATGTTGGCTGCAATGAGTTTCTCTCTACAATGGGAGGGGGTGGGGGAGAAGACAAATGTTATTACGGCAAAGTGATGTCCTCTCAGCTACGAGGTGGACTGCAGTGAAATTGATTGGGTTAATGTCCTCGCAGAAGGAACTATAAAAGCCTGGATTCAGTCACGCAGTTTATATAAATCAAAGTCATACTACATAAAACACGATTATGAATGCTTTTTTTGTACTGCATCAGAATGAAAGCCATTTTAACATCCCCATGCACAAATCACACCCGATTAGTTAGTATTTTATTCCCACTAATGTCACAAATGCAGAACCAGTCTGTTTACTCCGGTCATCCGTCACATTCAAAGTATATGCAAGAGAGAAATAGTTGGCCAGAACTATTGTGCGATAATTACTCAAATCGGCCGTTTTTGAGGATCCCGCCTGCAGGTGGAGGAGTGACCACCTGGTGACCCGGCTCAACAAACTGGAGCTCAAAAGACAGCAGGGATTTCAGGAAGAACGCCCCCCCCCCGTTCTACTTCCTGGGCGCCGTCATCACCCAGGAGGGGTGAGGGACCTCAACGTCAGCTCCATCACCAAGAAGGCTCAGCAGAGGATGTTCCTCCGGAGGCCGCTGAGACCACCACCGAGTCCATCCTCCGCTCCTCCATCACAGTCTGGTACGCTGCATATTTCTAATGACTATTTATTTAAAATATAACCCATGACGCGAGAGAAAAGCTGCAGGAGTCCTCTGAATGCCTGGAGTCCAAATGGCTCCTGCGTCAGGTGACCTCAACGGAGGTCGGCGTTGCGGACAGATACTCGCCCCGTTTCTGCGGTCTCACCTTCTTCCTGTGGGCCACAGTTTGAGCCTCGTGTGTAGAACATACCGAGAAGTATCCTGCGTCCATCCTGCCCGAAAATATTCCTGCCGGCTCGCAGTTCGGAGCAAACAAAACGGCTTGACTCACTGAAGTTAGCTGCAGTGACGTTAGCATCACTTACTTCGCCAACCGCCTCTGGGTTTCCTCCTCCTCTCTGGCCTGGACGTTCTTCAGCATGACCTCCAGCGGAGGCTGCCACTCGTTCTCCTCCGCGGTCATCCTGTCCAGCTCCGCGCGGCTGGGCCACAGCGAGGCCGGCTCGATGCCCGAGGCGGAACCGTAGCGGCCGAATAGCTTCCTGTCATACCGGCTGCTCTTCTGCCACTCGGGCGTCTTCTCGCTGTCCTTGTCCGGGATGTGGGGCCGGTGGAGGTTCAGCCGTAGAGGTCTGGGGTTGTAGGACGCGCTCTGCGGTGGAAGCCCGCGCGGAGAGTCCGCAGAAAGCACCGTTTTTGAGCATGAAATTCCCTTTAAAGTCCTGCATAACGCAGCCGTCCTCCTGCACAGCATGGACGCCGCCATCTTTGTTCCTCCACAGGAAGGACCCGGCGGAGAGACGAAGGTGGCTCCCACGATGCCTGTTTACCACGGATTCATGTTCTAATGTTTAAATTATTACATTTTGTCCGACTGGCAAAGATGAAGACGTTTACTTATTCATGTTGCATCAAATACAACCAGCAAAAAAGTTGCTATATAGTTGCTACATATATATATACAACTGGCACCAAGATAAGAAGGAAATTAGACATTCTTAAGGAAATTGGACATTATTTAGATGTTCACTATGCATTACTTTTTGCCTCTATAATATATGTATATAACTTTGAATATGCACACAGGGGGAGAAGGTGTGGGGGGGTTGGAGGTAGCTGTGAGCAGGTGTGCTGAAGCCGGGGTACCATTGCGAGAAGCCTCCTTTAACACCTCCTTGGAACACTTAAGGAGCACAGGGAAGTGAACCTCTCTTTCAAAGACAGGATCTTTTGTTTTTAACGTCCTCGACTTCTCCTCCTTCCTCTTTTTTTTTTTTTTGTCGCGGCCCTCCCTCGACTTTCTCATATTTGATTTCTTTTCAAGAGGCGGCGATGGAACAAATGGGGTCGCTCTGGAGTGCAGCACTTACGGAGACAGATGTCATCGCTTTTGTGCCGTGGGAACGTGCCGAGCTCTCCGTCGTCATTAAAGATTTAGGGTTCCCATGGCAGGGGTAGCGCTAGGCTGAAGGTGGGGGTGGGGAGGGGGGGGGGGGGGGGGGCATTAACACCCCTTAATTTGGGTTAGGAGCGTTCTGGGGCCCAGCCCGGGGCTTTTGGGGTCACATTGACCTCCGTCAAAGGCAAAAAGCTTTTGTAGGAGTTCAACGATGAGGGGCAGAATGACAGGTCTATTTCTGAGTGAGTGGGAGGGCCCGGTGGCACATTAATACACATTTAAGGACGTTGTATGTAACCTGCCAACCTGAATCAAATCGCATCTGTTTTTACAGATGTGTTTGATTGGTACCTACGTGATGAGCTCCTGCACACAGATCTGTGGCCTTTGCTGCCGGTTGCTCTAAAACAAGAACACACGTCGGCGGACGGCACACCCAACGGTCCAGGTGCTCACCCCGGAAGGGTCCTGACACCACGGCTCAGTGTGGTTGGAGCTCTAGGTGTTTGTCAGGCCACCACACACAGCGTGGTTACATGGATTCGAATAACTGGCTTAGTCGAACTGAAATCGAATTATCCGTTTCATGTCAACAACTTTGTCCGACTATGTGCGGTCCGACTACGATCCGATTAACACCCCTGGATAACTCGATCCGATCCAGTTGATAGTGCGACTATTGCGGCATGTAACGGTGAATCGGATGAGGAACTGGACTTTGTGTCTTTGCGCATGCTTGAGATCCCGACGGCGTCTTCTCTCCGTTATCACAGCCATTCGCTGTGCTCCTATTAACATCATGCACAAATAGTAGAGGGATGTAGCTTCACCTCGCTCTCCGTTCGCCATCTTTCTCGTAATGTTGATGTTGTTGTTGTTGGTAGTGGCGGAAATGGCTGTATCACAACTAGTTGTAGTGAAAACAGCGCCACCTATCGTATTGGATATGACATGCTTTCAGCCAATGATTCGATTTATTCACTGACATGTGTATATTGGGATAATAGCACCTCCCCCCGAAAGAGAACATAGTCCGACTAAGCAAAGATTCCAAGTATACCATCATGTAAACACACTGAGTGGGGTTGCTCATCACGCTCACTAGCCAATATTGCAGACTTGGGCATCGGAGGTTTAATACCAAAGATGGAGTGCTTTTAGAGGGTGGGAATAAGTTATTATTGAACATAAATAAGGGGGAGTGCTGGTCATTAGTATGAAATTAAGTTTCCCCCCCGATGACGAGCGGCTGGTTTCACAGCTAGTTACAAACTGGGACTGGGAGTTGTCTGTGTTTTGGTCAAACAACTTTAACCCTTTCAGTCTGTTTTCAGCTCAAGTTCAACTTAAAATGTCTTATTCCAAAAACCTACAGTCGACCAATCAGAAGCAGTATTAGGTATTTAGGTATATATAAGTATATAAGTATTTAACAAAGTCCGCAGGGAGCCGGCAAGTCACCTCGCTGCTGGAGACCCAGGCGGTGTTGTTCAGCCCGCCTGCAGGAAGCGAGGCACCAGAACCAAGACTGCGTAGCGTTAACCTACAACCATCAAGGGATTTCATTTGTAATAACAGCTGAATAATATTGTTAATAATAACGATTACAATTTCTCCGACTCTCGCTCTCAAACACACTCATGCAGGCAGGGCGGGCCTCGGTTTGGCGCCGTCTTGCCTGAGCAGCAGTTTGCCAAGCCAGCGGTACTATTTGTTGACACAAAAAAGAGATCATAATAAATTGAGTCTAAATCAACCCCTTTTTTGTTGGCCTTAAACAATGACAGGTTTTTTTTTTTTCTCCTTTTTGCTCCAAATTTTTGGCAACGAGAATTGAATTCGTCAGCATTTCCCCAGAACATTCGAGGACTAAATCCAAATAAAAGAGAGCCGCCCCCCCAAAAAAAAGAAAAGCTCCCCATTTCCTGGAAACGACAGAAGGCGGTGGCTGCCGAGTGGGAAGGACAAAGCGGAGCCTCCTCGGTGAGACGGGTCCCCGCGGCGCCGCTCATAAATCACCGCTCTCGGCAGCAACTTTGCACACAGATTAATAATCCAAAGGTAAATAATGTTGTCCTTGGCAACGCGTATATACATTTCCCCATGGATGGTTTCAACGTGTGAAGCCTGAGCGTTTTTGTCAGCCGTTCCTCATTTCTCAATTAGTGGTTACCAAAAAAAAGAGAGAACGGTCGTTGTGTGCAGATTTTCTTCTTCTTGTATTAGAGCGAATGTCATGGGCGTGACTCCGGCTGCCCCCCTCACACCCCCAGACTAATGTTAAACTTGGAGATGGCCCACATCAGAACTGCCAGCGTAAGCAGTCTTAAGAAGGGGAGTTGTGTGTGAGTGTGTGTGTGTGTGAGGATGGGGTGCTGCAGAGTATTTTACAGTAATGGACGTACCACATGGAGATCCAGTTAGTGATGCGTTTGGAGCGTGACGGGGGCTTGGGTTGCGGTCGGGGAGGCGGGTGTCTCGGTGCCCCCATTGCAGTCGCCGCTGAGTTTGTGGGAGAGGAAAAATAAAACGCTCTCTGAAGGATTCCTCCACCTGGGCGTGAGGGGTGACGGAGAGGGAACGGACAGGACCGGAGGGCTTTTATTTCTGCTCACGCTGCAGTAAAAACATCAATCTGGGGTTTCCACATCACATCACCTCACGTTCAGGTAAACATCTGTAGGGCAGCATTCAAACACACACACACACGGTAGTAAACCCCCGTGCTACGCTCTGCCCCTGATACATTGAGGTTTTATTTCTTTCTTTTTTCCCTACGAGTGATCAGACCGCCTTGGGAGCAGATTGTGGTTTATAAAATTGACCAAAAGAAATGGCAAAACGTTTTGTTATGATGGAGCTCGTAGCTTCCTCGTTCTCTTTGGGGGTCCTCGGGCCCGTATAACACGGCCGTGGGTTCTAATGAGATGATGAATGGGAGCATCCGGAGTGATGGAGACTCGCAATCCACCAGCGACTGCTAATTTAAAAGGGGGAGATTTATCAAAAGCGCTCGGATGCACCTTCACAGAGCGGTGGCAGCGCCCGGTGATAATGAATGGATGTAATTATGCCCTACCTGCTTCCCGGAGTTCCAGGGCTCCTAATCTGGTTCCAGGAGGAGCCGCGGCTGAAATCAAGTCCCTCTGTTTCACTGATGGACCTCAGACGAGTGTGATTTGAGGGATTATCTCACTTTACACAGATGCACAAGTGCTGAAGGTCTCTCCCCTGAAACCATCCAACCGCGTGTTACGCTGAATGTTTCATTCCGCACACGAGGGAGCTAATCACCAAGCTTTGTCCCACTCGGACTCTAAGTGCCACTTGATCACTCGGTCAACAGAGCTGTTTTGTGTTTTTTTTCTCTTCCAGTTGGCATTGTTGTAAAATATCATGGGTTGCAACTGAAATCTCCCGCCAGAAGCGATAAGTTTCCGAGTAGTGACCAATGACGGAGATACATTTCCTTATTGTTGCTAATGGGAAACAATGTGTTTCTTTTAGTGATTCTCCTCAAAGTTGCTCTTAGCATCATTTCTGCTCCCTGTGAGAAGCTTTATGCAAATGTTTGTGAAAAAAGAATTGTGCGTTAAATCAATTATAGAAGCGCCTAAAGCAGTGGCGCCTGGTGGATTCTTTATATGTTGGGAGGGCCAGCCAATCGATTTCAGCAAACATCCCAGTATCCCAGATTCAATGCAAAAAAAGAGGTTATTATTATTATTATTACTTTGCAGTTAAATATTTAACATTTATTCCAACATAACAAGGACATCTTATTCAAACAATTCAGTGTATTAATGAATTTATGTATGTATATGTGTGTGTATATATATATATATACAATATTCAGAATATGATACACACTGCCGATTTTGCAGGTTTTCCCACACAAAGCATGTAGGAGTCTGTCTCTTCCATCATAGGTTCTCTTCAACTGTGAGTGACGGAACAAAAGTCCAAAAAACCACACTGTATGATTTTTCAAACAATATTTAGCAGTTTATTGCATGACATTTGATCACCTACCAACCAGTAAGAATTCGGGCTCTCACAGACCTGTTAGTTTGTCTTTTAGGACGCCCTCCTGTTTGAACTCGTATGCCCTTTAGTGGCGGCTGGAGGAAGAGCCAGGTTCCGTTCGGGTTTCGTGCTGGGTTTGAGTTTGAATCTGCAATATTGCTGCTGATATTGTCATTAACCTCCATTTTACACAATACAGGACGCCGGTTCAAGTCAAGGTTGACTTATTTCTCACACAGTATTGTTACAACACTTTTTCTTCTTTTTTTTTTACCAAAACAACAATCTTTTCCTAAACTTGGCAGTTTTGTTACCTAAACCTACATCTCTATTCCTGTGAAAACAGTACGAAAGTTGACGTGTGTTGCTGCCT